CCGCGGACCCTGCCGGCCCCGGCCCCCTCACGCATCCAGTCCTCAACCGGCGCTGCGTTCGGCCGAGCGGGAACAACAGCTGCTGATGCCGCCGCGGCTGCTGCGCTTATTTTTTATTATTTTTTTTGCCAGGTTAACTTTGTTACGTGCGCTGGAAGAATTGTCAGCGCATTGTCCTGCGTATTCCGCGCTTATCTCGCCTGCAGTAAGCTAGTACAGAGTAACTTGGCTCGTTTTTTCAAAAAGAAGAGGCTGTCAAAGCCTGGTCGTCGCCCAGCCATGTATTTTTAATGTGCAGTTTCCATTTTTAAGGGTGTTGCTTTACTCGAGGTCAGGCGTGGGTATGTTTTGTCAGCACTTTTTGCTCTGCTCCGGGTAAGGTTGAGGGACTGCGTAGTTCAAGCTGATACTGCAGAGCTTCCATAAAGCAGGACTGGATACTGTAGCACAAACCAAAACATATAAGGGATGTGTGTTGTGCTCTGTTTCTCGCAGCACTTGAGCTTTGTTTGTCGTCTTAAGCAATACCTGCAAATGCATATTGCAGTAGTAAGGCAGTTCCAAGGAAAGCTTTTGTGTCTTGACTTTTGCTGCTTTGGCATCGTTTTTAAATGTCGCTTTTTATCTAGTGTAGCTTGATTTTCCAGCTTGAGAGGGCTGAAAAGGGGAGAAAAAAAGCTACAAAAACATGAAACAGTGGATGAAATAAGATAGCACCTTTGTAGAAATGCCCCTTGGGTTGTGCTGTACACATCTTTAATACTCAAGAATGCTGGTGGTTTATCAAATATTAGAGTTTTTAAAACCCAACAGCTTTTAAAACTGCTGGCTGCAACTCTGTGGTGTCTGGTAGACCAGCACTGATGAAATTAACAGAGTGAAACTTTGATCGCTTGGCCTCTGGGTTGCCCAGAAAACCTGGATTTCTGTAAGCTGTGAGGCAGATTCTCAGAAATTACCTGCTGATTTTCCACCACTCCAGCATAGTTGATAATTTGTTACAGGCTGTTACCAGTGGTAGACTTTGGTCGTACCTGACTTAAGTAGGTGAACAGAGAGACCAGGAAGGGAAAAGAGGTTGTTAGTTCCATCTTTAGGCATTGTCTCCTTTACCTAAATCTTTGTCTTCTGTTCAGATTGCAAGTGTAGAGTTGTTCTGGTTTTGCCCATATAAACACACACAGAAGCAGGTACAGCTGCAGCCTTAGATGCTATGTTGTAGTCCTATCAATGGTACCCTCGAAAGCTCTTGGTAGTAGCATGGGAGTAACTAGTCTATAGCCTCACTTTCCATAAATACCCCTAGAATGTTACAACTACTTCTACAGTTTCAAGCCTCAGTTCCCACTATTAGAACTTCACGTGGCTTGCCAGAAGGCTGGAGAGACTTTACAAGGTTAGAGAGCTTTAAACACCACCGCCAGCAGCAGCAGCAAAGACTGTGCGAGTGCTTTAAGGAAAAGGAAATCCATGCTCTAATATTGTGTGCCTGAACTTGTGCTGCATGGTGTCAGGTGGACTTTCCTAACTATTGATAGGCTGATAAGGATATTATGGCCATTGTGGTTCTGATGGGTTTTGTACTTGACTGAATTGTCTTGTGGAGCTAGAAAGCTTAGACAAGAGAGACAGCTTAGGGTGGTAATGGTTAGACCTCAGTGGGACGTTCTTCACCTCAGAACAAATGTGAGAGTTGCTTCTCTGAAGCACCTGAAAGCACCAGATACCAGGGTTTGCTGATGTGAGGTAATCTTGTTTTTTTCTAGTTAAATCAGTTTGTTGCTAAATAGCATAATCTTCACTTTTTGACATTGCAGGGTTGAAATACAGTTGGATAGGTGATAGGCACGGAATCATTCTCGGGGGGAACAGAAAAGAACTGTATTGTTCAAGGTCATTTTTTCCAAAACACATGCACAAAGAACAGGATACAAAGTGTGCGTAGAAAAATAGTGACTAGTGCACAGTGGAATTCCCTCTGAACGTGGCAGTAGGTCATGAGGTGCATAGCTTTACATGTTGACCCTCAGCAGGGTTTATTGATTTGAAGCTATTGGCTGCTTAACAGCACAGATTATTACAGCCACGGTATGTTTCTTTGGATTTACAAAACAAGTGGGAATATCTAGACATTCTCAGAGCCTTTAGAAAAAAAACATTGGGTTTAACTCATTTTAGTAAGCTAACAGAGTCAATCCTTACTCAAATAAAGAAATAGTTTGCTTTAAGTAATGCAAATTGTGGTTTATCCCCAGCAGTTCTGAGAATAAGTGAACAGTCTGCAGCAAGAGCCAACAGGCCATTAATGAGCAGGTTGAGAGAGTTATGGGTGTCTTTCAGGGAACAGTGTGCTTTTAACTTGCTTTCCTTGGTGCCACACAGTATCCTTAAAGCAGTGGTTTCCCATCCTGTCTCTTGTGCTGGCTCAAGCACTTGTCTTACCCTTTGTGAGGCTGATCCAGCGCGTACAAAGTTGTCAACTTGCAGCAGTGAAATAGCTCTGTTCAAAAGAATGCAGGAGGAGGTGGGCATGCCACAGCGAGTGGGGAGGTGCTGCCTGTCTGTGGAAGAGACCTGTCCTGTGCAGTCATCTGGAAATGCTCTCTGTGATAAAAGAATCGTTTGTTAGGTGAAGTAGCAGTTCTGGTCATTCTTGTCAACGGAGAAATGGGGCTAGGGTCTCTGGATGTTTGCAGTGATACTTGCTCAACATGGCTCTGACAGAAGCTGTTGGTAGTGTCATTGACGTGATATTGAATACTTCTTTCTGTGCTGCATGAATGGATTCAATCAAATCTCACTTCTAGAGATAGCAAATTGTTTTCATTTTTTCCTTTTGAATCACTTGAATTCTTATGCTTTATGCATACAATGTTCTGATACTGTGTAAAGTATGGGTATGGTCATACTGTGATTTCTTTACAGAAAAAAAATGAATCTTGTAGAAAGCCATTAACTGATGGAAATTTTGACCGAGAACAAAGATAGGTGATTCTGACTCAAAACTGCAAACTTGCATTATTCTTACATCCTTACTTTCCGTTGGTATTTTTCTAACCAAGATCTCTGATATGTATGTTACACTCTTGCAACTTTCCTGGATGGTGGTGGGTTATAGAGGTGGTTTATAAAGGATGTTATGTTTTCTAAGGTCCATTCCAACCCCTTAACATACTATGACAGAGAAGTAATTAACAGAAGAGAAAATCCTGAAGTTACATATTCTATAAAAATGGGACATTTTATGTTCCTTTCCTTAATAGAGGCAAAAGGAGGAGTAAAGGCAGGATGCCATGCATCTGTCAATAAGCAGATAAAATACTTGATTTTTATTTCTATTTAATTGTGTGTTTAAATTCCAACCCCTTAACATACTATGACAGAGAAGTAATTAACAGAAGAGAAAATCCTGAAGTTACATATTCTATAAAAATGGGACATTTTATGTTCCTTTCCTTAATAGAGGCAAAAGGAGGAGTAAAGGCAGGATGCCATGCATCTGTCAATAAGCAGATAAAATACTTGATTTTTATTTCTATTTAATTGTGTGTTTAAATGCTCTATCTTACTGGATGCTATTAAAATAGATATCTGTTCTTTAGAGGGAGAGATTTATGCTCGCTACTTTGTTAACAAAACATCTTGGAACCTTGAGTTGCAAAAAATGTCAAAAGTGGGGAATAAAAAATGTGCAGGAACTATTGAAATATTACTGCAATTATGAAATAAGCAATAGAAAATGCTTTTCTTCTGTGACTAGACTGTGAAACGGTTTGCTTTATTCAGCTTGGGTAGCGAAGTCACAAAGTACATATTTCTGTTTATGATGATGGGGTTTTTGCCCTTTCATCAAGAGCACCAAGGAAACATCCATGTTAGGCTCAAGAGCAGCAAATGACTGGTTTAAGTCATTGTTGGAGTTAAAGGCTGAGCTGAAGAGTTTTAACTTGTTCAAAACTCAGATGGAATTTTTGTATTTCAAAGTCTCCACTTTCAGGAAGATTATCCTTAACAGCTTGTTGTTTTAGCAGTAATCTTTCTGGATAAAGAACACCTCCTCTTGTAGTTTGACTGTCTATTTTCTAGAAATCTTAAAATTATTTTAAGACATGTTTGGAGTTCTTATAACATGATCAGGCAGATAACATTCTCGTTTTTTCTGCTGGTCTCTCGGTCTTTGCCTTGCATCAGATGAAATCTGTCTTTCATCCTCTTTCAATTTCTTCTGGCTTCATTTTGCTACATGGTAAAGTTTCTAGAATGTAATTGTGTAATTTGTCTTGTAAATCTGAGTTCTTGAAGCAGTAGTGTAATAAGCTGTATGTCCTTGTCAGCAGATATATGCAGAGTCTGCCGGTCTGAAGGAACTCCTGAGAAACCTCTCTATCATCCATGTGTGTGTACTGGCAGTATTAAATTTATTCATCAGGAATGGTGAGTTATGTGTTTGTGGGTTTCTTAATTTTTTTTCCTAATTAAAATGCATTCATATGTTTATAAAATCAATACTTCCTGAGTCTTCAGATTAACTGGTAAGAAAATCCAGTTTTCAGTGGAAATGTGTTAGGGCTTTTGACAGTTTTTACATGATGATTCACTACAATTCACAAAAAACTAAGTAATTATATACGTGAAAAGAAAGTACTGTCAATTGTTTGTGTTTGGGACTACAGTTCTGCTCATATGTCAGCTTTATGAAAGTCAAGCAGAAAAATCAGTACGTTGGGGCTTTTTCTGCCCACTTACAGTTGTGAATAGAAAGAACATCTAACCTCACTGCAAGAAGTAAAAATACCCTAGCACTTATTAGTCATTTTGGGGTGTATGTTTGATCAGGAAGTGCTAAAGCGAAAGCTGTAGTTCTGGTCTATAGCACATGTTCCTTTCGATGGTGTTTCAACAGCCTTTCTCTCCCAAATACAACAGTTCTAAATCTTAAAAACACATCAGAGTATGACATACAGATGCACAGGGCTAAGGACTGGTGTCTCTGGTGGGTGTCCATGTCAGGATATGTGTTTTGATCAGTAACATCTCACAGGGCATACTTTATCAATAACCTAAGTGATGTAACAGAAGAGTCACTGTAACTTACCATCAGCTTGCTTTTTTTAAACATTTTTGTAACTTACTTGGTGGCCTAAATGGCCTTAATGAACATGCTAATTTAAGCCCTGTTTGACGGTACCAGTATACTGATTTATGTTTGAAACCAGAATTGGTGTGTTTGCCTTAATAAAGGGATAAGGCAGAGAGATGTATAGCATGTGTTAATATGATCCTTTTTTTATTGCAGCTTAGTTCAGTGGCTTAAACACAGCAGAAAAGAATACTGTGAATTATGTAAGCACAGATTTGCTTTCACACCAAGTAAGTATGTTTTACTACTACTATTTTTTTAAGTATTTCCTTTTCTCTTAGTATGTATAAAGTGGTTACTTTTTTATTCAGCGTGATAGATCCAAACTCCTGTTTTGACTTCTATACTCTTGTTTGAATTGCAATTCTTATGCATATTATTGCAGACTGTGTGAATCATTTAAATAATGGATAATCTGGATGTTTCATGCTTCTTTTATGTCTCATGTAAGATTATTTTCCTGTACGTTTTCTGACAGCCTCAATCCCATTTATTTTTTTCCAACATTACAGCATATGGCATGTTTTCAGCTTCATTGATAAATATCAGTGTTTGGAAGTCTAGTGGTGAAACCACAGAAAAATTTGAAAATCACTTTGAACAATCCACCTGCAACACCAACCACATGACTTCTGTCAGTTGCAATTCCATTGATCTTGACAGATAATGCAAATGATGATTGTTATTCTACGTGCAATTCAGACAAGATACAGTAACTACCCAGTCTTAGGTTAGGCAATTTATGATGAATTATTACTGTATCTTTATATAGTTCTCAGAGGATTCCTAATTACATTTTAACCAGTTGTAGTAGAAATAGGTGAAGTCCTCTGGATTGGTGGCAGGCTAGGCTTGTTATTTAGCCTTGCCAACTTGTTGCCTGTTGAGCAGATTAAGTGGTTGTTATGCTACATTTTTCTCTTTACATTTATTTGTGCTGAATTATTGTTCGCAACTGCTGAACTCTGTTCTACATGGTGAAGATATGTAGTTTAATTACTTATTAAAAAAACAAGAAGTCTCTGCACCATAGAACCTGTCCTGGGTTGGAAAGGTGATGAGTTTGCCTATTTTATGTGTGTGGTACAACAAAAATCAATGCTCCTTTTCAAGGTAGCTGGTGCCAGTTAGAAGGATAGAGCACTTACCTCATCTCCTGCTCCCCTCTTACCTTTTTTTGGTTTATTTTTTTAACTAGTTTTATACTTTAGTAGAGAAAACTGAGTCTAAGGAGACAGGTGGTTTAGTTCATGTAGTTTCTGTTACAGAAATCACATAATCCACCTTCCTTCTATATGTATGTATATGCTCAGTATTTTTCATTTCTGCCCACAATTAATGAAACACATTAGATCAGGAGTGAAATGTACAATATTAACTCTTAGCACTGTGAGGGTAACAGCATATTTTGTGCTGAACACAGAGGTGCTTTCAGGTTAATATTTTTAAATACTACAGAGACCTGTATGTGAAATGTAAGGCAGATATCATCTGCTTGCAGGTTTTACTTGTTAAACATTTTTGTAAGGGCTTTATATTGCTTCTCTGTGGAAACCTGAAAAATAAGAAGTGAGCCCCAGTTCTGGAGGTCTCTGCAAGCTAATTAGCCATTTCCAAAATTGCACTCTGCTGCAATGTCCTCTACAGAATTTAGTGTGTAAGACCAGAAACCTGCATTTCAGTGGCTTTATTAGTTGTTACAAAGAAAGAAGGCTTCCTTGTTTTGTATCGGGAGGGGAGGGAAGACAAAAGTGTATAGTGGTTTCCTTGGGATAGGGGGGAAAAAAAAGAGGATGAGGAGTTCTAAATGAAATCACGTTATATGTGTGTTACTACTGATAAGAAGCAGCTTAGTCACTGCCCTTATCAACAGAGGTGTTCTTGCACAAGTTAATCCTTGACTGGCACAGCTGTTACCAGCACAGCTGATTACAGGCACGTGAGAAAACACAGTTGAGTTATTGTGGGTTAACAAGTTACTATTTGTCATAGAAGCTTGGGAATTGGTAAAAAGTGAACCTCTTTCCTTCTTTATGCAATAGAATCACAGAATTATCAAGGCTGGACTTGCTCCACGTTCAGCCTCTAGTGAAGGTCTGCTTATCTTCCTGTCACACACTGGCCACTCCCCTAACTCAGCAGCTTCAGTCAATAATCTTTTCTTCTTGGTTTTCCACACAGCAGTTGCTCTTTTCCTACCAGGCTGCATACAGTGGTAGCAGGCCAGGTACCCTGCACAGATTCCTCCTGCACCTCTGCCTAGCGTGTCTTGTTTCCCTCGTGCTCAACACTCATGCAGTACCTTAATTTCTCTTATTCTTCTTTATTTAGAAGATGTCCAGTATGGAAACTGTATCTGCTTGTAGAAGCTGGGAAGGTGTGGCAGGTGCTGGAGAGAGAATGATAAGGCAGGGCAGGGATTGATATGTATGCCAGTCATCCCAGGTGAAGTTGGATCTGGCCTATAACCATGCCATGTAACCTGCTTTCAGATAGATAAGTTCACCACAGGATGTGGTCAAAGAAACACGTGTGTAATTAATATCTGTGCCTCAACAGACAGGCACACAGTTGAGAGCAAAAGTGCAGTAATACCAGCAGCACCTCTCAGTTTAGCTTGGTTTGCCTGTTAAGGCTGTTGCTGTCATTCTGTCAAAAAAAGCTCCTTTGCTAGTGCAACATTTTGTGTATGGAATATTCGTAAACCATTTCTAGTGCATCTATTCTTGAAGTTCTGTAACATCTTGTGATTTCTTTAGCAGCTGAACTGCTAGATTAGTTACTGTTTGGAAGGAAGGAAAGAGTAGAAGATTCAGCTTGCATCTTGGCAGGAGTACAAAGGAACTGATTTTTGTTTTGAGTAATAGCATCATTCTTTAAATGTGTTCAGTCATGTAGGCAAATGACTCGATTTTCAAATGCACTCTTTAAAGCTCAATTTTATATGTTTTAAAATTCATTCCTTTTCTGCAGTTCCTCAAGTTATAAATTAATACAGCTATTAAGAATAGCTTTGGACATTTTTTAATTCTGTCAAGGTGTTCGTTCATTTTTAACTCATGTTTTCTTTCTTGAGTTTTTAAAAAGCAACTACTCTATATTCTTTGCCTCCTCACACATACACTTTCCTTTGCCATGTGCTGCTATTGATGTCACACTAAACAATTATAAATGCTGACCCATGAAAGAAGTCGTGGGTGTATTTCCCAAGAAAATACAGTTTTCAGAACTTCTCCTTTCTATAGAAGGTGACATTGACATAAATATTTTCAAAAACACAAAATGGAAATAGACTAGCCTGATCTGTGGCTGGAAATTGGGATGGGTTTATTCTTCTGCTTCCTGTGCAGCTGTATTGCTGGGAAGTGGTTGATAGAACATCACAAGCTTACTCAATACACAGACTGTAAAACTGCAGGAAGCCTTATGGGTAAGGTGTTCTGCCATGTATGCATTATTGTAATGTGAAATAAGATCTTGATTTCTGCATGCAAAGTTACTAATTGAAGGCTTAGCATGCACTAGGACCTCACTATTTGTATTGTTATAATCCTGGTTTGTTACTGTTGTTCCTCTTGTTTGTCACCTTTGTTCACATGTAACTGTTAATATAAAAGTTTTTTGGTTCTGGAATGCAAATAACTGACAGTTCCTGTGAGTCACTTGGCTTGATTGAGCTCCTGAGCCATCCTATAGCACACTGAGATTCTCCACATTAAGTACTTAAGGTTGGGGTTGTTCTTTTGGTTGGGTTTTTTGTTGGGTTTTTTCCCCCCAGTTAATGCATAAGCTTTGATAATTTTTGATCATCTTTAAACCTTCTGGATATGACTAGCATAGCTAGCTTAGTGTGAAAGAGTTCATGGTTCAGAAATTGCAAGTTAAAGGAGTGTTGCTCTAACATAATTGTGAAATACTAAATTAGATACCCATATTTCTAAGTAACTTGTGCAAAACCCATTACTTAATAAATTTTTACTACAAGCAACATGCAATTAAGTTCTAAACTTTTTGATCTTTAATTTTTACAAAATGGTCTGTAAAAAACTGAGTGACCCATTTTGTTGAGCTTATCATTATCATGTAATTAGGAATTTACTGAAGAATATAATGGTCTGGTTTTTTCAAGTTCATTTTGACAAACTTGAACACAGTAGTCCATAGCTTCAGCCTTTCTAGAAAGTCTGATTTGGAAAAACGAACTTCTGGAACAAAATGCTGTCACAGAATTCAGTGTGTTTGCCTCTGGCTCCAGGGTGTGGAGTATACATGAAGCTGAGATTTATATGAACGTCATTTCATACGTTTGTTAGACCTGTGGCTTGCATGAGAAGGGGTGGAGGTTTTTTCCTTTTAACTTAGCAAGCTGGAGCAAAGTCTGCCTGTGTCCCAAGGGTGTAAGACACAGTCATAGAACGGTTTGGATTGGAAGGGTCTTTTGAAGATCATTAGTCCAGCCTAAAGAATTACTCACAAGCCCTGTTTTACCAAACCAGTGCTTTAGCCCGTGAGCTATAAAATACACTGTTTTTACTTGTGTATTAAGTCTTATTTCATGACCAATGCACAAGGATGATTGGGGTGGCATATAAATGTCTTGCAAGTGTAATGGTAAATAGAAAATCTGTGGGTAAGAGGACTCTTAAGTGCAGAGATTCTGTGAAGCAGGCCAAGTGGAGCTTTTAAAGGTAGCCTTGTGGTTTGCCTACCTTATTTGCGTCAGTGTAATAGCAGATTCTGTACTTTGGAGAAGTAAAATTAATATCTGTGTTCCTGGAAAAATTACGCCTACAAGAGGGGAGGGAAGGGTGGAACAAAACCCACCCCCTGAAAACAACCAGCCAAACTAGAAAAACCCCACCCAAATTAGTATTCACAAGTAAAATAGCAGTTACGCTGCATGGGTATAACCGGAGTATCCAAAAAGCTTTCTAGTAGTTTTTCCATGGCCTGTGCAGCTCAAAGAAGTTGAACTAAACCTATGATAGGCTCACTTATGCTTAGACAAATTCTGTTTGAATTTCATGCTCTAATAGGAAAAAAAACCCTATTATTTTAATTGGTCTCTTAGTAGAAAGATTTTCATTTGGAGGAAACTGGTTTCTGAGACTGAGCTGGGAAAGATTACTGGGATGGGAATTAAGGGATTGAGGAAGAATGAGGAGGACAAGTGTGTGAAAGGGAGTGGAGGGGATGTATACTGTGGTGGCAGGATCGAAGTCTCAGGCCTCAAAGAGGCACTGGGGAGTGGATAAAAGGAGGTGGAACATGAGGAGAAAATGGCAGTAGATGACAGACACAAGTGGGGGATTAGCTGTGGAAGCCACTGTCAGCAAGCTACAGAGCTGCAGGGTGATTGCACACCGGGGGTTCTGTCATGCTGGGAATTCTAAAAAAAATTTCAAACCCTCCCAACTTCTCCCTGAAAAATAAATTGTTAATACAAAGTTGATGTTATCCCTGTAGTTCTTGTTGCAGTTCTTGATCAAAGTGTTGATCAAAATATATTTTTTAGAAATGAAAAAGATAAGCCTCAGAGTATCTGCTGAGTTGTCTGAGTGATACCATAAATATGTAACAGATATTACTGTAGGTGGGTATTCTTGTGCACCCTTAACAAAGGTATGCTTGTCTCCTCTGATGATTTTTCAGAATGTTTGTTCAGTGTGAGCTGAGAGATCATTAGAAAGTATTCAGCTGACATTTCTATGGTACTACCAATTGTGTACTAAATCTGTTTCTGTAACAAGAAAATTGTAAATTGGTAGACAGTGAGAAAATCTGTTTGTGTCCTGCTTTCAATTTACTCCTCTATGTTCTCACAGCTACACTTCCCTAGTGTTATATTTTAAGTCCTTTCTTTTATGAATTCCAGTTCCTTGCCATATACCTGATAAATAAGAAGCTTTGAAATTTCAAACCATTTACTATTTGTCTAATGGGTTACTGTTTTTTTGTTACTTTGTATCAAGTATAATCCACATGTTGCTGAAGTTCACCAATTTCTCCCCATTCTTTGACTGCTTCTGCATGTTGATACTGGATTTTTGTGTGTTCTCGAGTTATGAATTCCAGTTCCTTGCCATATACCTGATAAATAAGAAGCTTTGAAATTTCAAACCATTTACTATTTGTCTAATGGGTTACTGTTTTTTTGTTACTTTGTATCAAGTATAATCCACATGTTGCTGAAGTTCACCAATTTCTCCCCATTCTTTGACTGCTTCTGCATGTTGATACTGGATTTTTGTGTGTTCTCGAGTTCTCTTTACAATAACTTAGGGAATGAAAGAACCTTGCAGAGAAAAGAAGAATTTCTTGCCTGTAGAGGCTTCTTTGAGACTAGTTAAGGGATGATTAGGAATGTAGGTAAAGGGGATGCAGGTAGATAGCATAAAGCAGCATTTCTTAGACACTTAAATCTAAGGATTGTCCATGAGAGGAGAGGAAAACTTTTCTTTATCTGTTCTTACGAAAATTGAGTTTCCATATATGGTTAGAAGTACACGATGTTTGAAAAAATAATCTATTATGTAAAAGTCTTCAAGCTCAGCTGTTTCCAACATAACTGTTTAACATCCAGGCAGCAGGGTCTTTGTGCCACTCCTAACTGTAGTTTATCTTCTGTATTCAAATCTGTTACTGATACTGTGCATTGCCACTTCTTGGTATTCACCTAAGTGTGTAGAAGCTAAATAAATGTAATGACATTGTTAGAGATGTCTTCTAGTTGTTTGCATGAGAAGAAGCCTTGTCACTGTTTTTCTTGGCTTTTGAGTAGGGATGAGCTTATGCAATATATGGGTGTTGAATTTAAGAAAACAAGGAAATTCACTATTATGAAAATAAGCATACTGGGTGAGAGATTTGCATTGTTCTGTAATAGGAGTGTCCTTAGAAGAAATCTTGCATGGTATGCAAGAAGTAGTTACCTGCTGAAATTAAAAGTAAATATGTGTAAATTTCAGTGTATGTAGATACTTAACCAGTTCCCTTCAATTTTCCTCTCTGTGTGGTGCTTTTATTTCGCTGAGGCTTTTTTTTGTCTGTGCTGTTGGATGGAAAGTGGAATCTAAATTATCTAGCACAAACACATCGACAGTTTACAAAATTGCTAATTGCTCTTGTTCCTTGTGCTCTCTCCATGAACTATGTTTATAAATAACAGACAGAGGTATCTTTGAGGTAGTGTTTAGTGGGAGGGATGCTGGATTTAAAATCTGCTTTTTCTTGACCTTATTTTCAGGTAATCAGAGTTTACAGTTAATAAAGCTATTAAGAAAACTTCTCTAAGTCAAAAACTAGCATGGAGTTTATTTTCTCTTTCCCCTCAGTACACAATGTAACGAATGTGTCATGTGAAGTTTTTTTCTGTTATTTGTTTGGGGTCATCTCTTGAGAATCTATAAAATATACTTATTCTTCTAGTAAGCTTTTGTCAAACGTTTTGTAGTTGGCAGGACTTTGACGTAAATGCTTCTTTAAAGGACAGACTGTTTCGTAAGTGCCTTTTCTGCAGTTTATTCCCCAGATATGCCTTCACGGCTTCCAATCCAAGACATCTTTGCTGGACTGGTTACGAGTATTGGCACAGCAATACGATACTGGTTTCACTATACACTTGTGGCCTTTGCATGGTTGGGAGTAGTACCTCTTACTGCATGTAAGTATTGATTTTTTTTCACTGTAATACTCTTATATACAGGAAAATATGTCACTTCCTGCAACAAACTTTTCTGAGACCACTGCTGGCTTATTAAAAAACCCAAAAACATTCAATGACATCATTATTTCACTTATTTTCGCTCAGAAGTTCTACCTACTTGACTAGTGCAAAGCAGGAAGGTGTTGAGAGGAGAAAATGTGTTAAAAGGCTTTTAAACTTCTTACTCCAGTAAAATGCCTCTTTTCAATTATCTTCTTTAAAGTCTGTGGAAGTTTTTTTTGATGCCATTTATTAATATTAGAAGAATTGTCCTGTTTTGTCTGACCATTTATAAATGAAAGTTTAATCTTTTTTTGTGTGAAAAGTGAGATTCCTTTGCAGTCATACACAAACTGATTAGTAGAACTTCTCTTAAAGTACCATAAACAAAGGCCCATAAGTAGTAAAGGAATTTAACAGACACAGAGAGCACACTAAATTACTGTAGTTTGAAATTCACTTTTCAAATACGGATGAAAAGAGAAGTATCGATGTTTCAACAAGCGAAAAATACAGAGAAAATGGAGAAAAGCAGGAGGCATATAGTGTTCAGTCAAGGAAATGATTGGAAGTGCATCTTTGCAAACAATAATAACTCCTTGAACAAAAGAGCAGGGAGCTGGTAAATGCATTTCTCTGCACAAATGATCAGTATGTTCTTTGCTTTTATTTGTAACTGGCACAGTCTTAGTTTGAGAATAGCACAATACTGGCATCAGCTGTAGAAAGTGATCCCCTTTCTGCAGCCTGTCCTTCCTGTGCAAGAAAAGGAGCTTTTCTGGGCTTAGAGTAAACAAGATGTGCAAAATATATTTCACAATGCAGATAATTTACACTTTTCTCACTAAAGCTTCTGAAGGACAGCAAAATCATATTCAATAGGTTAATTAAGGTCATTATGTTTCATGACTGTCTGAAAACCTGCTGGAAGTCACCACCTACAGATTAGTTGTACTAGCCTTTGTTTGTTTGGTTTTGGTTTTGCAAATGTTATTTTTGGGGTTTAATACTCATTTACTAAGCCATTATATCTAACTAGATATTTTGACTTATGAGTGACTGTTTGGGTGGTCTTCCTTTGCCTTAATTTCTGTCCCTAACATTGTAGATAGTCCACTGTGTATGAATTCCTATAAGAATTAATGTACTGTGAAGGGTAACATGGTTGCACAGGAAGATATTCAACATGATAGAGCCATTTAATACAGCAAACCTTGTTTTGAAATTTGCCCAGATCTGTCACATGGATGTGATTTTTGTATAGGCCTTGTTGGCTTACATGAAATGCCTTTAAGGCAATCTTTGCCTTAAAAGTATGTAAATATTACAGAAAGTTAATCTTTTGCCTTCCCTGTTTCTGTCACATGGCTCACATAATTGTGTGTTGTTGCTTCACAAGGAAATGTTATTTTCATTACATTATATTTGGAGGAAAATGGTGCAGCATAAGAAAAAAACTTGTCAAACATATCTATGTTCTTTTTTGGTAATTTCACTTCTTTATTGCATACCTATTTTACATGGTTGAGTAAAAGGAATTTATGCCTTTGTGCATAACCTCAGCCTAATCCCAGCAGGCTCTGCTATGCTGTTGCCATTCTGTTAGCACAAAGAATATTTACATTAGTGGATGAAAAAAGCCAGTTACACGATTTGTTATGATCTGTTCAGAGAAGTAGGAATAACTGGGCCAAATTAATCCAGAGTGATTTTATTCTCAGTGTATTTGGCTGCATGGCTCCTAGAATGAAATACCCAAGTGCAGTACACAGGGTAGCTGAAAAGAATGATTGTGTACCTGTTTCATGTCATTGTGTAGTGATAAAAATTGTAGAGATGTGAAGCAGAACTACTCTAAATTGGTATAAGTAAAGCATGAATGAAATTGGCTACATTTGCACCAGAAGAACCAGCAGAAGGGTTAAAAGGAATATTTACTGTTTGCCAAAGAGCACTGTATATGTGCTTTCATTCAAATCAAGAAGGAAGACAAACAGACTAAAGATAAAGGTGTCAAGAAGATAAAGAACAAGACTGGAGTTATAAGATACACGGATAAGGAGAACAGAATTGTAAAGTTTGCCTTGGGCTCGATAGATGGAAAAAAAAAACAAAAAACCCAAGGCAGAGATTCCAAATGGCATCCACTGATGAAGGGTATGAAAGGCAAATCTAAAATCAGTTCATAAATGCCAATCAGAATCTAATAGATAAAATAAGGAATTGTTTGCTAATGTCCTTTGTCTTCAGTGTTGTCCACAAGTGATCTTGTCCGGATCACTTAGGCACACATCTTAGTGTTTGTGTAAGAGCAAGCAAGTGGAATCTGTGAGGGGAAAATAGCTTGCATAGAGATAAGTTTGTGTAGACATTTACTGTAATAAAGTCCTCTTCCTATTCCATAAAATCTCACAATTAAGGAATTGTTTGCTAATGTCCTTTGTCTTCAGTGTTGTCCACAAGTGATCTTGTCCGGATCACTTAGGCACACATCTTAGTGTTTGTGTAAGAGCAAGCAAGTGGAATCTGTGAGGGGAAAATAGCTTGCATAGAGATAAGTTTGTGTAGACATTTACTGTAATAAAGTCCTCTTCCTATTCCATAAAATCTCACAATGAGTTTCCTTAGGGAACACTGTAATTAGAAGTTATGAGGCTTATGTTCTCTGACCTTTTCAGCCTGGCAGAGTTCACCGTGGTATTTGCCCCTTTGAAATTCCTCCACTGTGTAGCTAAACAGGCAGAGGCAATCTAGTCAAAATCCCTGGCAGCAGAGGATCAGTTGATGCTATCATCTTGCTAAATTTGATTCGGTGACTGTTCAATATAAAATGCGTAAGTTGTACTGACAACAATGAGACTGAACATTTTCATTAGATAGCTACAGCCATCGTCGCTTCTACCTTACTCTAGACCTTTAAATTTTGTAGTATTACTTACTATCCAACATTAGAACTACAGCAGGAGGAGTGGATTGCACTGGGGGTGTAAGTGTTAACTTCCTCCAAATGCTATATTATGTCTTGTATACGAGGTGAACATAAGCAGTAGATATTTTTGGCATTTCTGGTGGATTGATTCATGAGAGGTGTAGAAGCATAAACTGTCTGTAAGTTCTAAATAAGTTTAACCAAGAGCTATTTATTCTAGGTCACATAAACCTCAGCATGCCCATGTATACTTGGGTACCTATGTCTGCCTGAAGGGTGGAATGGGAATTTTAAAGAGTTGCATTTCTGGGTATGGGTTCCTTAATTCTTCCTGCATCCTGTTCTGAGCATCTGTGTCTCATCCCCGTATGGATCCTAGTTTTCTGAAGTAGGCTATATACAATGTTAGCCTACTTTTTAAGATTATGTGACTAAGAATCATGGTAAAAAGCTAACGTTAACTAGCATCAAGTGTCCATAAAACACTTATTTAAAGCAGATAATGAAATGGAGATGCTCCTTGCTGCAGGGTATCATAATACCAGAAATTTATACAGGTTCAGAAGATAATTGAGCAAATTAATGGGCGGAAAAAATCCATCAAGGATTAATAAACACTAAGATACTATGGAACAGGAACTGACCTGCTTTGCATGAAACCTATGAGAATGTAATGAGGAAGTATCGCTGCAATATGTTTAACCTGTTTCCATATTCTTCCTTGGGCATCCATGAATGTGACCCGTGCTGGAGACAGGTCTAGATGAATCTTGGGTGTAACCAAGCAGTTGTTACACGTTGAATGTGTACTTTTCAAGAGTGTTCAGCTAAAGCAGACACATCTTTGTTCCACGTGGTTGCATATGGTCTTGCGTTCTGTTCATGCACTGAAAGTTGAATTTTTCTTCCTTCTCATAAGTTTAGTTGGGCACCAGGTGAAAAGAGGGTACCTATGGTCCTTTCCAAGCAAGGCTATAACCAAATCCAAATTTACACCAAGCTTCTCTTTATTTCTGCAGGTCGTATCTACAAGTGCTTGTTTACTGGCTCTGTGAGCTCACTACTGACACTGCCATTAGATATTCTGTCAACGTAAGTGCTCAAACAGTTTGATACAAACAACTTTTTTAGTCAGATTACCCTGAAAATGGTTGCTTTAGAACTTAGTGTCCTTTTCTTCCAGTTATGCTTGTTATCTTTCACCATCTTATGTGAGCAGCTGCCCTTTACCCTTTGTGTAACAAGATGTATGGCCAACAGCATTACAGGAGAATTCTTTTCACTCTGAAGTTCTGTTATTCAGGATCTTTGGAGCTGGAAAATTGTCTTTACAAAGTGGGCCCTGGTTAATGGAGATCTGTATTCGATGTCAGGAAGTCTTACATTGTAAAATTGCACATAGTAATTAAAAAAATGATTTCCTATGGTTTAAGTCAGTTGCTGCATAGGAGAATATTAATAAATGTGTTGCTAATAATGTCACATTGGTTTTTGTTGCATTTTGATATTTTGAAATTAATTTTATCCATTCTGAATCTCTTATGTGATACAGATTATTTTTGTCAGATTTCCTTCTAGCCAATACTTTGATTTTTTTGACACTTAATCACCGTCTGCTATTGAATATTGTCATTGTCTTTTTAAAATGAATTTTACTCAAAGAATCAGTAAATACCAAACAGCAGAATTTCAGGATAGTTCTTACTTCTTCATTATCTTGAGATTGAGGAACTGAAACTCAGTGTGAGTAGAACAAGTTACACATCAAGCTAATTTTGAATGAATGTTCTGTATGGTTCAGCTAAGTCATCTCAGTTGGGCTATTTGGTTTGGGACATCAGGTCATGTTAAGTTTAATTAATTCTATTAATGCAGAGAGATGCTTGCTTCAGCCTAACAACAGCATTTTTTCTGTCTTCTCTATAATGTAGATTCTATTTTTATTTTTCTGAGAAGAATCTGAAACAACTGAACCTGGAGCACCTCTTCTCATGTCTGTTAGTCAGATCTAGGGAGAAAATAAATGACTCAAGTGTTTGTCAGATTTAAATGTCATGTGAAACCATGCTTAGGCATTTATTTATTTGACAGAGTCAATTACAGCAGCCTGTTGTGTCATCTTTTCATTTTGAACTTCATGTCCCCTTGGTATTCACTGTGCTGTGCAGGCACAAGTGTGGCTGCAAGGAGAACCAGGCTGATGCTGCTTTGGGGATGGCACAGTACTATGGTGGCACGTTTCTTACTTACTTTAAAGAACATATTGTAGTTTTCTGAGCAAATTCACTGTGGTGAAGAGGAATGCAAGTGTGGAAACGGGTGGGAGGAGCTACCTGGAATTAGAGATGAGAGTTGCGTGAGGTGATTTAAGTACCACTTGCATTGCATGAACCCTAGTTTCAGTTGATTGACTGAACTTCATTTTGCTGCTGCTTTACAGTTAGGTATGACCGGATAAATTAGGATTTTTAAAGTATAAAGATAATACCTAGGGTAAAATACCACCTGAAATGTAGAGCAGTTGAAGGGAAACTCTGCAGTTCCCTTCTTCTGGTTACGGTAGCTGAGCAGATAAAACATTTTGGTGGACTGGATGTTGTGCATCTTGCCATTTAAGGAAACCTTTTACTGTATCAAACCATTTATTTGGCAGTTGTTATTCCTTTGCTGTTCTTGAAGATTGTTTTTCCTGAACTGCTCTTGAAACTTTTCATACTGAGTCAGATCCTAATTTGCAGGAATTTCTATTACAGTAGTAATTTCACGAACCAAACCAGAGGGAAATAAAACCTCTACCAAACCAGTGTGTATCTGGGCACTTAAAACTATTTGTGCAGAGGTACACAAATGGTGCCTTCCTGAAAGAAAACTTCTTTGAACAGTTTTTTTAAATTAAGTGAAAATTATGTCTAGATACTTTCTTCATTTGGGCACATAAATGAATGCAGCTTTTTACACAAATAACAGTTTATTTGTTAAGTTGGACTAGAAGGATCTGTTTGTGATAGTTAATAATGACTGTTTAATCTTACTGGCAAAATATTTTTGTCATTAATGCTTTCTTTTTTTTTTCTCTTTAACAGGGAGAACTTACTGGCTGACTGTTTGCAGGGCTGTTTTGTGGTAACGTGCACTCTGTGTGCATTTATCAGCCTTGTTTGGTTACGTGAACAGATCGTCCACGGGGGAGCACCACAGTGGCTGGAACAAAATCAATTTGGTTACGTGAACAGATCGTCCACGGAGGAGCACCACAGTGGTTGGAACAAAATCAACAGCAGCCACTAAATGGTGTTGGTCAACAAAATGAGGTAAAACTTCCTGCTCAGTAATTCATGATAACTTAAGAAAATGTGTTTTTGGGAATAAATACATTATCAGAACCTAACAGTAATGTTATTTTACTACAGGGTGTCTGTGTTTATTTTTTTTAGAAGAAGTTGAACATGTGTTCCTATATAAACTCAGTGACACCACTGTTAGGTGTCTGAAGTTGTTTTTTATTGTGTAACATTGTTTAGATTCTTATGTCTGTATCTTTACCCTTTTTTTTAAGATAATTTCGTGCATATACAGGTGAATTCTCAGGCATAGTCAGTGAGGATGCAGCTTGCTTTTGTTTTGTCTTTTTCATAAGTATTTCAATAGTTCATGAGGTGACAATTCACTGTTCTCAAAGCAGTTGAAAGTTTTGTTGAAATAGCTGAATTTTGAGCTTCTCTGCCCCCACCCCCAACACACACACATGCACCCCTGTAGTTCTTACAGCAGCCTCTTGGGTGGAAGAAAAAATTATATACAAGCAATATGTGCTTAGGGAGGAAATAATTCAAAATTTTGTTTTCTTTTGTAGTAAATACTAATTTTTAAAGGCAAAGGTAGAGATTCTCATCTTGGTGATTGACTCGGGTTGTCCTTGAATTATTGTCTTTCTAATATAAAACAATTTTCATGACATCAAGCGAGTTCCCCTCTATTCAGCACTGGTGAGACCACATCTGGAGTGCTGTATCCAGCCCTAAGCTCCCCCAGTACAAAAGAGGCATAGGTGTACTGGGGTGAGTGCAGGGAAGAGCCAACAAAAATGATTAAAGGTCTGGAACCTCTGATGTATGATGAGAGGCTGAGAAAGCTGTTTAGCCTGGAGATGAGAAGGCTCAGGGTAGACCGTATTAGTCTGTAAAATGCCTGATGGGATGGTGTAAAGAAGACAAAAAGTCAGAGCTGTCTTGGTAGTACCGAGTGGCAGGACAGCAGGCAGTAGGCTCAAACTAAAATACAGGAAGTTCCACTTAGGAGGAAAAAAACCCTGTGGGTTTTGCTTGCGGGTTTGGGGTTTTTTTAACTGTAAGTGTCATCAACTAGTGGAACAGGTTGCTCAGTGAGGTTTTAAAGTTTCTGCCTCTGGAGTTAGTCAAAAGCCAGGTGGAAACAGCACTGTTGTAGCTACCTGTTGTAGCTGATCCTACTTTGAGTAGTTGGGTTGATGATCCCTAGAAGCCCTTTCCTATCTCAGCTACTCTCTGAAGAAAAACATTTCATTTCATGTTTTTAAAGGTTTAGTGGTCCCAAATGTAATGCTTACTAAAAATATGTTGTTGACTTTTTTTAATGCAATTCAGTTTCATATATATATATATATCTACAGGATAAAAGTATGGAGAGAGGTAGACAAATTCAACCAAATACCAAATCCTGTTTCTGCAGGCTCAGGCTGTTGTAAATGGAGGTGTTGAAAATGCTGTGCTTGATCAACCTGCTAACCCAGCTGCTGAGAATGTAGTTGTAGGTGAGAACCCTGAAATTCAAGAAGAACAAGTAGATGAGGAGGAAGAGGATAATGAAGATGAAGAAGATGCTGTAGTAGAAGATGCAGCAGATGCAAACAATGGAGCACAAGGTAACAGGTGACTCAAAACAGTAATATTCTAGTACTTATAAATTAAACCATTAAATATAGGACTGTCATAATTCAAGGAAGCTGTGTAAATTCCCACCAGCTTATTTATCTTGTTTTTGCAAATTTCATGTATTTTGAGTACTGAAGCATTCACTTGTTGAAATGTTACCAGCAGTTTTAAGATGAACATTTTGCCCTCGAATCTTTTTGTTCATTTGAAACATGACATGGAGTGGTTACATCTTGTTTTGAGTGAGTCTAACAGCTGTAAAAATGGCCATTGTCTCCTCAGATGATATGAACTGGAATGCTTTGGAATGGGATCGAGCAGCAGAAGAACTTACTTGGGAGCGAGTGAGTAAGAATCATTTTCTTGAATTTAGTAATTCAGACTCATACTTGAAATGATTTGTAGTACAGCTGTGTTAAAATGAATTTGGGATAGATTTGGATTCTCTTGGTAAGAGCCTTTAATGACCTAGAGAAGCGATAATATTATAAACAAAATGTTATGTTATTTGTTAACAATCACAAAAAGCATTTCTTTGATTTGAAATGTAGCAGCTTAAAATATGTTTTAGCACAAACTTTCCTGAAGTCTCCAACTTGGGCAGGTTTAGAAATTAATTGCAGCTTGCACTAAGGATGCTGGGCCAGATCAGGAGCACATAGGTGTTATATATAGTTTAATGCTCAATTTTTGTATTCATCAAATTATTAAGGAGGAGAGAAATGAAAATGTTGGTTAAAAAAAATTATTTTTGTATTCATCAAATTATTAAGGAAGAGAGAAATGAAAATGTTGTTAAAAAAAATCTTTTTATTGAAAAACCACGTGTTTCTTTAAAAATGAGGGAGGATTTTAATGTAGCATAGCTTCTGTTTTGTTTATGGATCCCAAATTCCGTAAGTAGAGTATGAGATACATGTGTGCTGTAATCATAGAGTAGTGTAGAGACTCAAGAACTAGGTTTTTGTAACTGGTTTAGAAGCAGTCAGCATCTGAGTTCAAAGCTCAGCACATGCAGCAACATCTGCCTGAAGGCAAATACAGCAGCTTCATGTGATTTACCAGTGTCGCCAGTGCCTGTGGCAGACAGTTGTGAAACTACTCACCATATTCTGAGGCTGCCTCGATTGCAGGGTAGTAAAAATAGTTTTCATCATGAGTGACAGGTCTTGGTCTTTACTTTGTACATACTGAAAGCTTCTTAGTGTGTTTTGAAAGATTTTTCGTGGTAAAGGACATACATAAATTCAGGTTCCTGAATTCTATTGAATATTTCAAGGTGCAAGTGTTTAATTTCTGAGCCCAATTTATATGCTGGGAAATGCTGATGTACTCCTAATTGAAAATATTTTGTTGCCTCTCCGTGAATATAGAAATCAGTTTCAGCATAATCCCATAACAATTTCCAGTGTGAAGTGCTGACATAGACAATAGGCACATTTTGATACACATTGAGTATCAAAATTGAGGTGGGCTTTTCTGTTGGTTCATCCTGTAAAAATACCATTGCAAGTGTTCGGAATTTTCAAAAATATTTGCATCTTGATTTGCTTTGTAAAATATGTGCAACTGTTATATCTTGGAACTTAGTGCAAAGTCCTCGTACAAAAGAGCCTTGAACCTGGAACTTTACAGCAGTAATTGTGGAGTAGGAGTGTCTGGATTGAAATAGTAAGATACCCTTCAAGTGAGGGGAAAGGAGATTTTTTTTTTTTTATAGGTGCTTTATTTTTGGCTGTTCTGTGGATGCTTCCCGTAACAGCTGTACAGAGTGATGAAGGATTTGTTTCCCATCTTCCCTAGCTGTGAAACAATTCTGTTCTAAACTTAATAACACACAGTGTAGCAAATTATCCCATTGCTACTTGCTTTTGTACTATTAACTAACTTTTCTCACTGCAACATAAACTGATACTGTGCAACATAAACTGATACTTTGCAACTTGGATGTAACAAAAATTTGCTCTAGTATTTTAATATCAAGTTGTTTAAACATGTATTTAAATAGCAGCTAAATCACTAAAATATTTTGTAAATACGAAATCTTTGTCAGAATCTTGGAAGTCTTGGAGAGAAATATCCTCTAAATTCATTCATTGTGTCTTTGGTTTCACGTGTATAAATACTTGTATATTAATATTCCTGCCTTTGAGCTTACTGTGTTGAATGAGAACTTCAAGAATTTATGTACTGGTTCTGTTGGCTGAGCCATAAAAAAGGGTTTTGACAATATTGGACATTAAAGGTTGGTATTAGAGAGGCTTATTTTAGATGGAGGTAGCTTAGCTTTTCTGATGAGTAAGTAAAAGTTGACTTTCTTATCTTCACAGATGCTTGGACTTGATGGATCTCTGGTTTTTTTAGTAAGTGCAATCCTGCATTTCAAGAATTTCTTAGAAGACTTTGTTTTTAAGTACCTCTATTTTTTTAAAGTGCATCATTGTATTTGAGATCCCTATTTTCATATCATAGGTATTTCTTTAAAGGGAGTTTCATATGGTGTCATGTACAACTGGGTTTTTTTAGGAGTTTTGCAGAGTGGAGTTGTGTGTGTGTGTGGCATAAGAGTGAAAGTTATTACTTTGGATCATATACTCCACTGTAAATAAAAACTAGACCCTTTCAAAAAGCATATACTGAAAATATTTATCTGTTCTAGTCTTAGGTTTTGCTCTTTGTTATGATTAAAATAGTGTCCTCATTTGGACTTCTGTTATTTGCCCTAATACCACCAGACCACCACTAGTGAAATTTCAGTGTAGGCTATTAAAACCTGAGATCTTCAGTTATGTTCTTGCCTTTATTTGGGTTTTTTGTTCCTCCCTAAAATTTTTCCTCTATTGAATATTATTTTAAGTATTATCAGTATCAAATCTTTTAGAATCTTCATGATAGTCTGCCTTAAAATCATTAAGATTGGAAAAGACCTCCGAGATTATCAGTGTCTTATATTTTACTGTAATGTCTCATTTTTACAGTTTATATTCTTAGGGATTGAACTTAAATATTAATATCAAAATAATTAGAACTCCAGTGTACTAGTGGCTGAGGTCACATCTTAGCTAGAAATAATACTAAAACATTAACACACTGTCATGGTGAGGGTGAGAGCTGTCAGTTTTGTTGACACCTTTGCTGTGACAAAGACTAGTTGTTAAAAGTTCAGATGAACATTTTCTCATTTGTAAAACAAATATCCTCTCACACTTGATGTAACTGTTTTAAAAAGTAGAATTATTGATATTGATTTTAAAATAAAAGTTTATTTTTGCAAAGCGAGAGTTTAAAAGCAGATATAAGCACACACATCTTGGTAAATGTCCATGGATGTAGAGTTTAAAAGCAGATATAAGCACACATATCTTGGTAAATGTCCATGAATGGGAACAGGCACTTTCATAATCTGTCCTACATGTTTTGGCCTTTGTTAGAGCAAATTTCTTGGCTCTAACATGAGAGATGCAAGCTCTGGTAATAACAGGCAGTTGAAATAAGAAGTTTAGATACAAAAGTAAAGTCACTTATTTAAATGACTAATATTTATGTCCTGTTTCTTTGTCATCTCCCTTCCTCTTTCCCCTGCACTTCTCACAGGAACACGTCTTTTGGGTGGTGTCTTTAAATACGTTGTTCATACTTGTCTTTGGTAAGTATCATTTGTGCTTGGGTTTTAGAAAGGTCATTCTTTGTGAAGTGATAATGAAGGTTAATTTTAAGGCTGTTCTGTCAGAATAAATGAAGATGTGACATCTAAAAATGGATCTAAAAACCCACAAATTAACTGGGAATATGAGTAATAAATATTGTTTTCTAGTTTTGTCATTTTCATTTCTCTTGAGTGAATAGGTTTGAAATAGGAGTTCTACCAAAAGCTTAATGATGTCAACCACAGAAAATAATACTTGTTTGTAATACTGTTAAATTAAAGGAGAAACCACATGGAATTTAATTTATGAGCAAAAGTGATACTTGAGGGAATGGCTGGGATATTGGGAGGGAAGAGGGGATGGAAGTGCACATGTAGCTCACAATGTAGAGTTCTCAAATATGCTTCCATTTTGTGTCTGAAATTTGCTACAGAACAACTTTCCTGAATTTATGCAACTTAAACTGACTTACATTTTAGAAAATAATAAATTCTAATCAGTGGTGTATTTTACTCTGTTTTCCTTTCTCCTTCCTATAGATGCTGAAGCTGAACTGCAACTTTAAATGTTTGCAAAACTCTTTCTATTTCTAGTACAAGATAGGAATATTTTCATGTTCTGATTCTATGTATAGTTAGTGCTAGGAGAACTTCTTGGACATAACTTGTCATGGGTTTAAAAAAATGTTTAAAAAAATTAAAAATGCCTAACTGTAGGTGCGTATTTCTCAGTCATTTGAACCCTAAAAGGGTAAAGTAACTGTAAGCTCCTCTTGGGAATTTCTGAAATTCCTAGTTTATACTTACTGCTTGTAGTATGTAAGGTAAATTTGCATTTCCACTTTGGTTTTATTGCAGAAAGGGGTGTAAGAAATGTTGTTATTTTTAAGACCCTTCTGAGAGGCATTAGACTCAGCTATTTTTCTCTTTGTACCTTAAACCTGCCAAGTGACATGGGAGAGTGAGAGCTCTTCCTGCTCTGCAGTTTTGACTATTTCACTGCTAACAGCGGCCTTTGGATTATGGTGCTCAAGTTCCTCAGTGTTGTTAGTTTGCAGTTTTGACTATTTCACTGCTAACAGAGGCCTTTGGATTATGGTGCTCAAGCTCCTCAGTGTTGTTAGTTCGACACAACTGTGTGCAGAAGCAGCAGCATTTTACTGACAAGATGGAGCATTTTATACACTTGCAGAGATAGCAGGCAGAAATACCATAAAATTTAAGTTGCTCTGCATGATCAGTTTAGAAAGGAACTCGTTATGTTGCTTTGATTTTTTTTTCAATGGTCTTGGCAGAAGACTTTGAGCTTGAAAAACTGAAGTCATACTGTAGATAAGAAATTATTGCTGGCAAAGTAAAGCTCACAGCACTGAAACAGTGATTTGAGAATTTAGATACTGAAATTAATCAGCATATCAAAAGAAAATAAAAATTAATATTTTGTATGTTTAATTCACGAGAAATTGTAACTGTTCTAATAAGAGCTGGACAATATTTGAATTATTTCTTTGATCTTTCTAGTAAGTAGATAATAACCATGAAATTTCTAAGTCATTGTTTAAAATTCAATAATTAGAGAGTACTAAGAATGATTAATGAGGTTGTCATATAGATGTGTTTTCAGTAGCTCTAAGTGTGCTTTGCAGAGTGGGAAACTAACGAGAAGGGAATGACTTTCCCAAGCAAGTAGGAGGTCAGGGAATTTAATATGTGCCTCTCAAGCCTATTTTTAGTATCTTTCCCATTAAGTAATACTGCCTAATTTACAACTGTCAGATCTCTAGTTATTTGTAATGACAGTACTGGTGAGTTCAGATGTCACGGGAGGTGCTTTCTAGAAGATAAAACAGAAGGAAAGCATTTGGAACATTAATTACTGGTCCAGAAATTCTCCTTGGACAAATTAATTCATTTCAGCTTAATTAATATGTTCTATAGCTCATTTTAGTACTCACAGAGGAGTTTGTACTCCTCTATGCTTTTTATTGAAAGGGATCTATTAGAAATTCTCTTTTAAATAAAGTTATTTAAAAAACATTATAAACTTCACTATATTCTCATAAACCACTGTCAAAAATACGACTTTCAAGTCATGAGTCTGATATCTATAGATGAGTTGTGAGTGTGATATTTCATCTCATTTTGCTTTCACTTGTTCTTACTGGGCAGGGAGAACTCAAGTATTCCCTTTATCTATTATATTTTTGCTCTTCCCAGTAACTGCTGATTTCTCTGAAAGGGTCATAAGTTAAAACTTTCTGATCATGGGTTAGGGTAATAGGAGTCCTGCTGAGTTTTTTCTTGGTTTTGTTTGTTTGTTTTTGTTTGATTTTGGTTTATTTTGTTCAGGGTTTTTGGTGGGTTTTTTTGGGGGGGTTGGTTTTTTTGCTTGTTTGTTTGCTTGTTTGTTTTTTTAACATCATAGTCATATGAAAATGAGGAGGAGAGAGAAAATGAGGCTTTTCATTTGAGGGAATGTTTAGTCTACAGTAGCTCCCAGAGTATGTTATCATGATGTAGTGAAGGCAACATAGGTGAAAATAAAAGCCATTACTGAAGCCCATTTACTTTATATATTGATTCCCTCTACTCCTGTAAGAAATTGATGTTGAATTCTGTAGTCCTTTCTAGCTTGGTTAGAAGAACATAGACTGAGCTAAAACAACTGTTTGATCCTGTTTCAAATACACAGGTGTCCTGAAATGAGGAAAGTGCTGTGTTTTTTATTTTTAATTCATTCCTGGTGAAACATCAGAATTGTCAAGAGTGAGTTCTTGGGAATGATGACAGTTCTTAGTATATTGATTCAAAGTAAAAGACTTCTCTGTTGCTTCTCAACCTTTCACTGGAGCATCATCTTTCTCCCACTCCTCTTCCCTTTGCTAATTTCTGCAGGGCTTGCATTTTTCACGGTGTTCTTAAGAATTAAAGCACTAGAACTGAAGCCTTGCTAAAGCAGGTCCCATCTGACCAAGAAGTAAAATGGTTATTAAGTCTTTTAGTATATGGGAAAGAATCAATATACAGAGCAGGTTCCTAGAGCACTCTGTGAGATGGATACCAGCCTAGTACATAAGACTGAGAAATTGAATTAATTTACATGCTACAAGATTAGCTAAGAAGGAAAAGACTGTCCTCTTATTCTGCATATGTTTATATTGGTTTTAGTCTTTCAGTGTGAATTCTGATTTTCAGTGCTTGTAAAATTACAGAAACATAACACTTGCAAATATTTGCAGAAAGTAATTTTAGTTGTTTTCATAAAATTGATGAGACATAGAATAATTACCATGTTACAATACACATCCCCCAAATATGGCTCCATTCAGCAGTTTTCATGGCCTTTTTTTCTCCTTTCTGCTTATTTTTAATAGCATTTTGTCCATACCACATTGGTCACTTCTCCATTGTTGGCCTGGGCTTTGAGGAATATGTGAGTACAGATCTAAAATTGCAAAATAAAAACCTGCCAGTTGATTTAATAACAATATTTTTGTTGCATCTTTTCACTTGTATTTGTGATTGCAAAAGTAACTTGGAATATGTCTCTTTTAGTCCTTAAAACTTTCTGAATCTATGAATAAAAATTTTATGTAGTTTTTCTTTCCCACTTGCACCATTTCAAGTGAGGTTTCCTACTTTTACAAAAAATGCTTATGATTTGGGGTTTAAGACATTTTTTGTTGATTGTGTAGATTTTTAACTTCTGTACTGAGTAATTTTCATAGTGAATACTAATAGGGGAATAATAATAACTGAATATTATTCACTATGAATATTCATAGTGAATAATAATAAGGGGAGCTGGAGGGTAGTGAAGTAGGGTAAGGTGACACTTTGTTTCATGTGTTAGAGATTGTTTCATGTTTGAAGAAAGTGGTTGTTAGACTTTTACAGTTAATGTAAACATTGTCTACTCGTGATGGAGATACCAAAATAGTAGTAGTTTATTAAAATACTTAAAAACTAGAGCATCTTGTCATTCTTGTTGAAGAGCTGAGATTTGGAATTTAGCTTAATTACATAAAAGAAATGTAATATTTTCAGAGAGTGATAAACTTTCCCTTTTCTCCTCTCCCCTCCAGGTTCAAGCATCTCACTTTGAAGGCTTGATAACAACTATAGTTGGATATGTCCTGCTAGCAGTGACTCTAATTGTTTGTCATGTATCCTTTTGTCAGTCGTTACCTGGTTCAGATGTACAGATAAATAATTTTTCTGGCTGTGTTTTGAGGAGGCAGAGACATGATGCAGGGGCAAATAACTCACCATTTTGCACTTCTCTTGGTGAAATTAGAAGAAAGGGTCTCTTGTTCTCTTGGTCATTTAAAAGTTGTCAAGGTGACTGCATTCTTTAAAATACTTGTACATGTTTAAGAAGAGAACTAAAGGACTTTATACTTTCTTGAAGGCCTTCAACTAAATTTTGAAGGTCTGTCTGAGAAGATGTTTATAATCACTATTTTTTCCTCAATATCCTATGCTACTGCTGTGGATTATGTAGCTGCAGAGAAAGAGAGGTGGGATTATGAAAATGTGTAGGGTACAAAGGGAAATTATTCAAGCATTTTTGATCCTGCAAGGTCTTTAGAGTACAAATTATTAGTTTCTCTTTTATGTCTCTGAACTACTGAAAATTTGCAGCAAGAATTTCTTTCAGGTGATCACCCTCATTATTACAGAGAAAGCAAAGTCCTGAAAGCTGGAAGGATTTATTTGGTCACAAGTGAGAGGTCTGCATTCTACCTGCATGTTTTTACAAGGACTACACCCATTTCAGTTTGAAAGAACACACATTTGTTAGCAGTTTTCTGTTCAAGAGTACCCAAAGTTAGCATCAGCTTCATACCTCACTGCACCAATGTGCAGAGCAAATGTGGTAAAGCATTAGTTAATTGGCATGTGGGTTTTGCTTCCTAAAAAAAAAAGCCCTAAACAAACTCCCAGAGTTTAATATGCATCCAGCTTTTCTTTGGAAAAGGTGAGAATTTTTCAGACTGCGTGGAAAGAAAAGCTGCTCTTTAGGTCAAGCTGCTCTTTAGGTCACCAGTTTTAAAACTTGCTTATTCATGACAGATGTTTTCAAAGGCAACTGTTTATTTCTTGAGTAAACTTTTGGATGCTTAATTTAAGAAGGGTGGCATTATTTATTTACTTATTTATTTCTTTTAGGTGCATGTTTTGGGGAGTTATCCAGCACACCAGTTTGTGACTTTGAGAGTCACAGCCAATTAGAAAATAGAACCCTGACAAAATACATACTTCTTCTTTCACTTTCGTCCTTTATTTCCTGTTGCTAAAAGCCAGGTAATAGTGCTTCCTATTAATCAGACTGTTATAAAGTATTTTTGGTGCTATTTTCTTGACAAAACTATTCAGGGTTTGGCAGCACTTGTGAAGTTCCAGCGATCACGTCGTTTATTAGGAGTGTGCTATATTGTTGTCAAGGTAATCCTCATTTTTTGTGTGGAAAAAAAAGCCTCCCAATTTAAACTTCCATTATAATTTTCTTAGCAGTTTTTGTTAAACTAGTGAAATGTTCTTTTCTCTCTTGTCCTAAAGGTTTCCTTGTTAGTGGTGGTTGAAATCGGTGTGTTTCCTCTCATCTGTGGCTGGTGGCTGGATATATGCTCCTTGGTAAGAATGGAAATAAATGGGATAAAATCTTTTTTTAACAGTGTTTTAATTTGAAGCAAAAAAAAAAAAAAAAAAAGTTCTGATGAGAAGAGAGTTGGTGTTAGTTTAACAGCACTCTTCTGTTTTTATAAACAGCATTTCCAGAGGGAAGGAGTCTTTCAGTTACTGCCTAATGCTAATTTTGTTTTTCCTTGTTAGTAAATAGAAATTAAGGTGCTGTTACTAAAATAATCAGATCCTAATCTTTCTTACTGCAATAACAAGACCACTGTGATAATGAGCTTACTTATAGGCAAACTTGTGTACTGAATAAACTTCTTTATGTAGCCATCTCACATGAAATGGTAAGGACTTCATAATTTTAAGTTGTCCAGTCTCTTTCTGTTTTGAGCAAGATACATGCCATGTTTGCTTGGAATAAAGAAGGACAGATTTTTCTGTGTTGAAAAAAAAATAATTGAGTGATGAATTTCAGATGGAGAAAATTAATTTCCTCCAACCTTAGTAGAAATAGAATTTTACTTAAGGGAGTAAGTATTTACTTCCATCACAGTGCCACTTTGTTTGAACTGATTTATAACTTATGTAATGTGTTAGTGTTTGAGTTGACTACTTCCTTCTTTCTGTCAGAAGAAATAAATTGACCAGAAATTGATCTTTATTTGCTCTTATCATAAATTTTTCCGTTTTTTTTCTTAGTTAAATGCTATAATTATTTGTGTGTTAACACAAGGCAGGCATTTAAATTAAATGCCTAGTAGTGTATATGTACTAGAGTAAACGAAATGAGTAATTGTGGAGGTTTGCCAACCTTCATTTGTATTCCTTTACTGCTTACCTTATAGGAGATGTTCGATGCCACTTTGAAAGACAGAGAATTGAGCTTTCAGTCTGCTCCAGGTACCACAATGTTCCTGCACTGGTTAGTTGGAATGGTTTACGTCTTCTATTTTGCATCCTTCATTCTTTTACTGAGAGAGGTAAGTCTGTAAGGACAAGATTGGTATGTACCGTGTTAAATCTTTCATGTGTGGGTATTGCTGCTGCTGTGTTCTCTGTGTGTATTGCATGTCAGCCTTATGTAAAAGTTTATTTACTGCAGTGGAAAATATAAGAGTGTATTTTACTTAGAGATTTTTAGTTTACAAAGCCTCCTTAAGCCTGGGTGTTGCCTTCAAATTAATCTAAATGTTTCAGTTGTTTAAAGTTGATCAATGCTTGAAAATTAAGCTTGTATTTATCCTTCTCGACTGCTCCGTGATAATTCTTCCTTTGTTCCATTACTGTACCATTTTGTTGAATCCTGTTCAACAAATATCCCTATTATGTTAAAATTTACTTTCTGCAGCAGTGTTCTTCAAAATGGTAAACAATGCAAATATAATTTTCTCTTCATCTATTTCCTACTACAGGTATTGAGACCTGGTGTCTTATGGTTTCTCAGGAATCTGAATGATCCAGACTTTAATCCTGTGCAGGAAATGATTCACTTGCCCATCTATAGACATCTCAGGAGGTTTATCATGTCAGTGGTAAGGACTTTTCTCAAAGATTTCATTATTTGGAAAGAAAATTTCATATGTTACCTCCACTATATGGTACTGTGTTCTTAAGGTAAAACATTTTCACTGTGCAGGTGAATTGATACTGGAACAGGTTGCCAGCAGAATCTACATCTTCTGTTACTCAGAACACAACTGAGTAAGGTTCTGAGCACCCTGATGTAACTGAGTCTGCTCAGAGAAGGGGGTTGGGGTAGTTTACCTCTAGAGGTCCCTTCCAAAACAAATTTTTCTGATATCATCTCATTATGCAAAATAACAGGAAATGTTTGTGTATTCAGACAACAAGTGTTTAATATTATGGATATTGTAAATCAAGTAATTCTTTCATGACGCCCTCAGTTATTGCAGTAAACATTGTGTGTTCAGTTCAGCTAAAATAGTGCAGCAGGGAAGAGTTAAGTTTCCAGTTGAATTTTGGATTGGATTCTGCTGATGTAGCCAGTGGTGTCTGTTTCCAGATTATCATTGTAAGATATTGAAAACAGTGCAAATTTTTTCCCTTTGCTTGTTTGCCTGAAGTTTGCCAAGCATGCAGTAGGGGAAGGGTCTCAGACTGTCATTGGCATAAAAGTCACGTCAGCTGTGAAAACTGACACACCAGAAACATTATTCTTTGATGTACTGTATTATTACACCTGAGGTGCTTTGAGCAGTGAAGGCTCATAGAGAGATCTTAGTTTTGTTAGAGAGCCCTTGAGTACATGAGAGGAGCTGACCTGTCTGCTTTTCAGAGCATTTTCTCAGTGGATAATTGTTATTCTTCAGCTGCCTGAAACTTTGTGTCACAGCAGGTGGCCCAAATATAAGCAAAGATCTGCTTGTTAGTAGTGGTCTCAGATATGTTCTCACAGTGTTGGAACTGGCAGTTACTTGAACTTCACCTTTTGATTTGCTTAGCTAATTAATTCAGAACTTTCACTAGCCTCGTGCTAGAATGGGTAATCATGTACACCTTACCATTTCAAAGAGTGAGCTGCACCTTTTAAGTTTTGTTTTTCTCAATATTTGTGTAGAACATAAATAATTTTCAAGAAGAATGGGATTCACTTCTTCTTTTCTACATAGTTAGACACATAAATTTAATTCTTTTTTACATTTTTAGTCTCTAGTGGTGCATTTATATGCAATATAAGAATGTGTTTAGAACATATTTGATTTTTTCATCTGGTTCCTTAAGGATACAGAATTTATGTAAGTGCATAGTCTTCATGCACCTGGTCTTTCAGTCAATTAAAATGCAAAGGAATAAGCTGAAAGCTCTTTTGATGCATCAGTAAGTTGCTTGAAAACTTGGCCACTAAGAAAAGAGAGGAATACAAAATGAGTAATCCTGGTGTTGGGGAAAGGGGAAGAAAGAAGGAACTGCCTGACATTGCTCTAACTGTCAGCAGGCTAGTCAGTGCCTATTCAGCCACAGTCCTATTTGTGGTCTGCCTGGGATGCAGTTGAGTTTCTTCATCATGGCAAATGTCCCTCTGCACTTGGAATTAGTGGCTGAAACAGTGCTGCTGGCACAGACCTGTTGGCTATGGCTGAACAGGGTTTGCACAACACCAAGGCTTTTTCTCTTTCCTGCTCTGCCCTGCTCCCTCACCTCCAGTGGGTAAGCTAGAGGTTGGCTGGAGGATGTACCTGCAACAGCTAACGCAGACTGACTAAAGGGATATCCTATGACACCATGCTCAGCAGTAAAATCTGTGGGAAAGGAGAAGGAAGGGAGGACATTTATGGTTATGGTGATTGTCTTCCTGACTTCCCAGGAAGTTGTTAATCATCTGTCTGCTGATGGGAAGTAGTCACTGAATCCCTCTTTGTTTTGCTTGTGTGCACAGCTTTTATTTTCTCTGTTAAACTGTCATTATTTCTATCCATGAGTCTTCTTGCCTTCCTTCTATTTTGCCTTCCCCTGCAGCTGGAGAGGGGAATGAGCGAGCAGCTGGGTAGGTATTTGGCCCTTAGCCAGGACTAAGGAAACACACACAGGAAACATGTCAGAGAGATGGGTGGGAAACTGGGTTTGGCTGTTTCTGCTGTTTGGGCTAACTTGTTTACTTTCTGGTTGCAGATTGTCTTTGGATCAATTGTACTGCTCATGCTCTGGCTTCCTATACGCATCATTAAGTATCTCTTGCCTAACTTTCTTCCATATAATGTTATGCTCTACAGGTAAACATTTGTTTTTTACAAGATGGATTTTTTTTCAGCCTTCCTATAACTAGAAAAAGTGTATTTATGCCCTTTGAGCATTAATGTGACCTAGTTTGCTATGTTATTTTTTCAGTTAATCTAATTTGCATTGTTCTAGAGAAGTAAGAGGTAAAGGATGTGGCTATCTCATACAGTTTGTCAAATTAAAAGCTACTGCCAAAAACAAAAAGCATTTTTTATTACTTATATAATAATAACTATTTGCATTTTATATGCCCTCAAAAGACCTTTCCTTTCAACTTTTTGATAGTGAAGTTGCTGCCATGTTTGTTTTTTTAACACACTCATTCCTGATTGCTTCAAGAATAAAGAATATCTGTAACTGCATTTCTTTTTAATGATATCTTCCTGTTTCTAAATAACCATTGCAACAACGATAGAACCAAATAGAACAGCAAATCATATTCTCAGATATAGTCTCTCAGCACTTAAATTTCTTATATGTCTAAGTGCCTAAATACTCATGAACACTCAGCCTCTGCTCAGAGTAGTATATAAGGAACAATGTCTGCAAAAAAGAATTGTTCCTGTTGGTATTCAATATATTTTTTGTTGTGGTGGTGTTAATATGATTTGGTGTGTGAGATTCCTATCAGAATGTTGCTTATGTTTGACTTCCTGCTCTTCCCATTGTTTCTAGTGATGCTCCAGTAAGTGAACTTTCCCTAGAGCTCCTCTTGCTTCAGGTGGTGCTTCCAGCTTTGCTAGAGCAAGGACATACAAGACAGTGGTTGAAAGGTCTTGTACGAGCATGGACTGTTACTGCTGGATACTTGCTGTGAGTACAGAAATCCAAAATCAACTACAACCATTGTGTCCAGTTTGGCCTTTTAAGCATGAAAGCAGCATGCTTTCAAGAAATTGATCCCAAGAAGCAGCTTTAATAGCTGTTTTACAGATAAACAGATGATGAGGAACTTCTATAGTGATTTCTTCTTCTAAGCAGTAGTTGCACCTACTTCTGGACTAGTGTTTGACAAGTAATTCTTTTGGTACACTATTACAGAATTTGCTTAGTGAAAAAATCTGTAAAACTATGACTATTATATGAAAAAATAATTATAATATTCATATAATTCATATAATTATATAAAAATAAATATGACTTATATGAAAAAATAAAGAGGTGTCAACAGAGCATTTCTATGAGTCATCTAAATCATGTGCAATTCTTGCATTTCTTACTATAAGAAGGAAAAAAAAGTTGTTTAAAACATTGAGCTGAAGAAGTGTACAACTTTAAATTGGGGATTTTAAATTTAGAAGTTCAGTCTCTAAAGAATGATAAAACTGTATCTTTATCAGCTGAAGTAAATCATTATATTGCCAGGCGGTTCTAGCACTTGAAATGACTTTTTAGTTCATCTGTTGTATGCCAAATTAGTCAAGAAAATATAAGATTGATTTTGTTTCTATGCAGCTTTAACTTCAAAGTATATCAGCGTTCTCCCACCATGCCTTGCTCATTGCTGGTTGTGCCAATGCAGTACTGTTAGGATGAAGATTTATTCTTTGCTAAGTCATGTCTGAGAAACTGAGAAAATGAATGAAAGACTTTTTTCTTCAATCCAAGCATTTATTTTAGCTTCTCATAAGGAAACTCTCCTCACCCTGTTGTTTTAGTTTCATTTTGGAGAGGGTTTTTTAATTGATTTGTCCATGTTTCAATAGTATTTAAGTATGATGCAACAAGAGTATTTCAGAGATGATGGTAGAAATAGCTTTTCTTTCTCCACCATTGTAGTTGTTTAGAACAGTTGTGAATTATCCCTTCAGCAGTTTTAGTTAGGCAAAGATGAAAATATTTTCCTCTGTTTTTCGTAAAAAGCAAACTACTGTGAAAATATTTTCATCACCAATAGAATATCTGCATGCATCCTATTCTGATAATGCTGAGGGGAAATAACTTCTAACTGTTCATATTGGGTTTGATTTTGTTATCACTAATGATATGTGGGAAACATCAGCAGAATTATTTTCAAAGTAGATTGACTCTTTCTGGAGCTGGTGATTTTTGGGCAATTTAGAATCTTCTTGAAAGACTCTGCCTGACTGTACTTTTGAAAGCATGTCTGTGGCAAAATGGTACTGTCCCTATAGAGTTTAGGTTTGAAGGCAATTGTTTCCAAGAGAGCTTAGTAACAGTAAAGTAAAACCTTCAGTTGAACTGTGTGCTTACACAAACTGAAATATCGATGCAATTTTCCTTCTACATGCACAGCAACTTTAATACCAGATGTTTTTAAAGCAAAGAGATGAGAGATCTTTCCTTGTAACTGTATTCCCACCATTCTAATCTGCATCCACAGTGGCATTTTTGTTTTAAATTGTGTTTATGATGACATTGAGAACATTAACAGAAAAAAACTTAGTTTACTTTATCCAGATTCTATCAGTACTCCTGTATCAGGTTTGTACAAATTGTACCCATTCTGAGTAGGCCTATCTTTCTATAAGACTCTCATTCATATCAAACAGAACAAAACTGAAATTTTGATTGTTACAGGGATCTTCATTCTTACCTACTTGGTGACCAGGAAGAGAATGAAAACAATGCAAATCAGCAGCCTAACAACCAGCATGCTCGCAACAACAATGCCATTCCAGTTGTGGGAGAAGGTCTTCATGCAGCCCATCAAGCCATACTTCAACAAGGAGGACCTGTGGGTTTCCAGCCTTATCGTAGGCCTTTAAAATTCCCGCTCAGGGTAGGTCTATCTAACACATCAAGAGAAAAGAAAAAGGAATTTGAAGAAAATGTAGAACAGGTTTATTGTAAGAAAGATTTGACTGACATATTATCAGAAGTGGTGGTTCAGGTTGTTTTCTGTTTTATATGGTTATCATCTTTCTAAAAAGTAGACATACAGTTACTCTCACATACCGCTTTTTTCGGCCTGTGGCTTAAGACCTTCAATTATAATATTATTTATAGATCCCATAAATGTTGTGTATTATCTGTTAGTTCATGTCTTGTTTTCTTAGCAGGTAATAATGGAGAGAAATAAATAAGCCCCCATCCAACAGGAAGTTCAGGAGTATCTCTGGCAAGGCGTGGCCTTTTTTGCAAGACTTTGCTCTTGTAGCTGAAGTATATTTTAAAGTGTTTTGCTTTATTAAGAAGTTAAATGGAGAACTTTGGTTGCATCTGCATCTATATTAAACATAAAAATGTGTTACAGTACTTGAGAGTTCTAAATCTCTAAAATTAGAAAGGACATGTTGTTGGCAAATACTTAAATTTCTAGAACAATATACAAGTCAAACTAGATAATTGTTTTGTTGTTACCAGAAGTCTGAGTTAATCAAATATAAACTTCAACATAGCTCACTTAGTGTGGTTTCAGATATAGCTCGAGAATGTGAGTAATAGCTATATTAGGACACTGTAGCATTACTTCTGAAGTTTCGTTCCTTTATCCCCAAAAGTCTTATCAAGGACAATGTGTGTTAGAGATTTAACTGTCTCTCAGTAGTCTGTTAGGATATTAGCTGTTCCACAAGTAAGCTTGCCTGTGGTGTGGCTTTGATGGTTAGTGAAGCAGAACTTCATAGCACATGGTGCTTGAGGCATTCAAATATTTAAAGAAGTCAAGTACATGAGAATTCTCTGATAAGAAGCGTGACCAGCTCCACTGTCAGCTTCTGATCACATAAACCTGAAGACATCTGGAAGAATTTTCTCAGCAAGATTTTCCTTATTATACAACCACTGTCTTGCTCATCTGGCATACAGAATTAGAAACCTTTCAGGGTTAATTGAGAGCCATGCTGGTCAGTGCAGAAATAAAGAGATGATTTTTGATGTATCATAGCAAAGAACTTCAGTCATTCTGGATTCAAATGTTAATTTTTACTGTTGAGACAATCAATGCAAACTCTTAAAAAGAAATACACAATGTTGTAGGTGTTCTGCATGTGCTGTGGGTAGGTTTCTTTTTGCTGATTTCTTCATACAGTGAAACATCAGCTGGTATTTGAGCATTCTAGTTCAGCTTCCTTTCTAGGATGATTTATCTTTTTTATGGGTTTTTTTTTGGCTTTGGTTAAGTAACTTTCTTATAAACTTTTTTCTTTTTTTTTTCCCTCTTTCAGATATTTCTTTTGATTGTGTTCATGTGCATAACATTACTGATTGCTAGTCTTATCTGCCTTACCTTACCAGGTGAGTGTTACTGTAAAATTGCGATTAAAAACAGCTCTGTGTGTTGCCATGCTCAACCATGGCAGATGTTTTGAACCCATTGTTCAAAGTTAAAAGGAGAAAACATGGAAAACTGTCTCATTTTTAATGGTACGTGCTCAAATTGTAATAATCTAAAAATCTAAGTGATAGCGATAGTACTTGCATTTAAATGACAGAGATTGCCATTCCCTTTGTCTCATTGTAGGATAATTTTCCTTTAAGGGAGGGCTCCAAGTGCTGAGACAATCTCAGTAGTATTCAGAGAAAGAGAATTGAAACTATGCAGGTTGTTTCCAGGTTTTCTACAGTATTTTCTTTAAGTATTCTGCAGGTGTCATTATTGAGTCTTGCAAGGAACATGGAGTTGGACTTGATGATCCTTATGGGTCCCTTCCAACTTAACATATTCTGATTCTGTGATCATGGCAGCTCACAAGAGATTTTGGGAAGTGGCATATACGTCACTTCAGAAATGTATCAATAAGTACTTTAGTCAAATCAAAAGCACTTTAGATTTTTTTATACCAATGGGGAATCAGTGAAGACATGTAAAGTCATCTGAATTTTAAGCTGGCTACTGTAGTACCATGTAATTTATGCCTCCTTGTATTAACGATCCTAAAGTCAATCATGCGTTGAGATCAAAGTTGCAAAGTTTGTGATGATTTTCATCGTAGTACATAAAATAATTCCACTGTAATACTAGTGAATGGAGATGCTACTAAAAAATGAACTGTAGCAAACTAGTCTCCCATTAGTGTCAAAGGACTTCAGAAGCCCCATCAGTAACTCCTAAAAAATTATGGGGCAGTAAAATAACCCAAACATAGCTCATGAGATATAAGTTCAAACTTATCCACTAATCAGTTATTGCTTTTGCAGTTCTGCAGATAGTGTTTAGGCTCTGAATAGTGCAATATTCAGTGCTTTGTTTTGCTGTAGCTCAGGTCACATTGCTGTTGTAATGGAATTGTAGGGGGGGGGAAAATTCTACATATGTATTTGGCATTGTTTCTGAAGCTATTTACATAGTACTTCACATATTTATGCACTGTGGGTATAGTACCAAAATACTGGTTTATCATGAATAGCATTTGTGTGTTGATACTTCGCAAGAAATTTAAAGTGGTTTTTTTAATAGGCATCCTTCCCTAATTCAGTAGAGAGCATTGCTCTAACAGTGCTTGTGTTTTCAGTGTTTGCTGGCCGATGGCTAATGTCCTTTTGGACGGGGACTGCCAAAATCCATGAGCTGTACACAGCTGCTTGTGGTCTTTACGTCTGTTGGCTAACTATCCGAGCAGTGACAGTGCTGGTTGCCTGGATGCCACAGGGTCGTAGAGTGATTTTTCAGAAGGTCAAAGAATGGTCTCTTATGGTGAGTCTTGAGAAAGATTTCTACTGAGTTACAGAAAAAGTAGCTAATGAAACCTGTTGTTTCATTTTTGCTGACAGGTTTTACTCTGTAGTATACTACTTTTTCCTTTTCAGGGCATTTTGAAGCTGTTGCAGCTTACATTCCTATTGCATAGGCTAACTGTTTCTGAAAGCCATTTTGCACAATGTTAAGCGCTCAGTGTAAATAAGTTTGTGTGTACATATGTTTATATGTGTGTATATTTTCCTGTTTTCCTTTAAAAGTTAATATGTTTAACATATTATCCCACATGTTACATGTTCTCAGACATGTACATTTTCACATATGCACCTGGAAGCTTAAGTATTACTCATTTAGTAGCATGACATTATCAAATGAAAGAGAATATAGTAAAGCTGATAGATGATGATGATGAACATGTCTCTATAAAGTAGCTTGATGCATATTTTCGGAAAGATCTTTATTATTTATAGGGTATCATGTTCAAATAAATGTTTTTAAGGAAAATACCTTTTATCAAGAGGAGTTCAGATTGTCACCATGAAAACAAATTTATACTCCACCTTTTTATCTTGGTGTTGATTTTGAGGATTTCTGTAGTGGATTTCTTGCATATGGATAGTTTAAACATTCATAGCATAAATGGTATCTTGTTCTGGACATGTTCATGTGCTTATTGAGCTATTACAGACAGAAGAGCCGTGTATTTCATGTACTACCACATTTCCCAAATATCTTATCTATATTTTGATTCAGGAAATCTTAAACTGCTTTTAGAAAATTCAGAACTAAAACATAATGCTACAGTTGTCCTTTGTTCCTTCTCCTTATCGTGTTAGTTAAGTCATACTAGTTTTGTATGATGCATGTAAATTAAGAGAATTCTAGAGTAGATTCAAGCATGGTATTCTGAGTCTTTCATTTTGAAGTCAAATATTCCATAATGCCTGAATTTTTAAGGTCTGGTTTTCTCTGGATAAAAAAAATGGCAGTTTTGGAAAAATTCTTCTCTAATTCTCCAGTATAAGAGAATATGCAATGCAGTGAAGTGCCACTGGATAATATTCCCTACTGATAACAGTCAGAGGTGATTTTATGGTTTAGAACTGTATGAACAGTAGGCACAGTCAGTCATGTATTTTTCTGGAGGGGGCATGGAATAGGATCCAGTCTTGAAAATTTGCCCTGCAAAGGTATGTATGTAATAAAAATTATTTCTAGGGGTATGAATTAAAGGTCTATGTAGGTTTGGGTTTTTTCAGTGTTTATGTAGTTTGTTACATTTTAAGTTTAAACAAAGAATCCTCTGGTAACTATATTAATTAAATGTCTTGGGGTTTTTTAGATAATGAAGACATTAATAGTGGCTATACTGCTAGCTGGTGTGGTTCCACTTCTGCTTGGTCTCCTCTTTGAACTGGTCATCGTTGCACCCCTGAGAGTTCCTTTGGATCAAACACCTCTCTTCTATCCTTGGCAGGTCAGTTGCTCCCATCCTGTTGCTGCTGTTGATGTAAGGAGTCTCAGCATTCTTCTTTTCATGTGGCAGAGCCTCCTCAAAATATTGGATTAGAGGGTTTGAGACATTCTAAATGAACAAGGAGTTATTGGAATTGAGAATAATTCATTTGTTTCAAAAGAGAATAGAGTCATGCAAAGGTTACATGCTTGAGTAAATATGAATCAACTTTAACACCAACTTTTAAAAATTTTAACAGTGGTTTATTAAAATTTTTGAAAATAGACATTAACAAAAGCTGTGTTTTTAAATAATTGATTACAAAAATGTATTTCCCCAGCAGTCTATGCTGTCTTAAGCCTTACTAGTCCTGTAGCTGTTCATCCTGCCTTGACAGCCTGTAATTTGCATTCTGTTTTTTGTGGCTTTTATTGAAAATCTCTTACAAATATCTGTTATGCAGAAAGGATTGACTCATTATGTGAAGTGTTTACTAGAAACCAGTAGTTATATTATGGTCTTCTAATTCCATGCCACAGTCATTGCAATTTATGTTAAAGCATGAGTTTTCCTCTGAATAGTATGGCACACTTTTGTGAAGAGCATTGCCTTGCTTTGCTTAGCTCTTCTCACATCAGGTAGGGTTTTGTGAATAACTAAAACTGAAAGAGGGAAAAAAACTGTTTCCTGATGTGCGTGAACATCTTTACATCTTGTTCCATTCTTTCTAGAGGAATTGAAATAAGTTACTTCTAGGGAAATGTCACCAGTATCAGTTTGTACCAGAATGTTTGTCTATTGCTTTAAGTGTAATGTTTTTATTTTGTATTTAGCTTTGGTTCAATAGTAGTAGTGATTTTCCTGGTTCCAGGGAGCTAATTTTACAGATGTCAGTTAGGCTTAAGAGCATCCTCTTTTTCATAGGAGTTTGCAGGTGATGTCACCTCTTTTAAACAATGTCCTGTGTAAATAGAAAAGTAATCATATTTTCATTTATAAGTAATATTAACAAGTTGTTCTAGAAGCTTTTGATTGTCTAACTTTTTAAAGATATGTTAATGCTAACAGTCCCTTTTTACAAAATTAGGACTGGGCTCTTGGAGTTCTGCATGCCAAAATAATTGCTGCCATAACACTGATGGGTCCCCAGTGGTGGCTGAAAACTGTTATTGAACAGGTAGGGAAAAACTGTCTATACGAATTATCTGTATAATACATTTTCAGTGTTGTTTGAATGTGTGCATCAGAAACAGTTACTCTTGTAGTAATGCAGTAATTGAGTAAAACTCAACTAGTCATGTAGAAACCTTTTAAATTGTATGGCTAATCCATTAAGGGACACTTAACAATGAAACATAAACCTCAGAAATCTGAAATCAAGAAAATGCTGTGTGTATATGTATGCATTTTTATCAGGTTTGTATTAAAGTGAGGAAAAACCTTGATTATTTATGCAGATGAAGGCAGTGTGTCCAAATGCTGGACATTATTGACATCCACAGCTGAAGAACAGAATTTTACCTCTCCAGAGCTGTAGAGATTACCTCATTCCTAGCTTAGTGCATGTGAAAGACACCATTTCCATTTCCCTTTGATTATTAAGCAAGACAGAGCAGTTTCTGTGAGCAGTTCTGAGTCACGTGGCTTGCGGGTTTCTGTGGCAGAAGTATTTTTTTCTTGATTATGACCTTTAAATTCTATGCTTGTCATCTCAGTGAAGTATCCCAGTTGCTCGTCAGAAGGTAACTTTGCAGCCCTGCACTATATGTGGTGGCTATGGTGCATGTCCCAGCCCCTGTACAAAAGCTGCCTCTCTTGCAGTCTGGCACATAGTCTCAGTTATTAAACCATTTGCTGATCACACTTTAGCTGTCACACTGCAGAAATGTAGCCTTGTTTGTGGGAGCACCTTTTGATGCATACCACGACTGTTCCTCCCATTTTGAATGCTCTCTGTGGGCCTGTTGATTATACATGCATTCCTGAGCCATCCTTTGACATGGTTAGTGGGACAGAGACCATCATGTAGGTGGTAGCATTTCAAAACTGCTCTTTTCCCATGCTAGATCTAGTTATGTTTTGACCTTAGCTTCTGGTACTAACTACAGAAACTTAAGAATTGTGGAGGCCCTTTCTTCAGGCTCACACTCCACATGCAGAGGCTCTGGTCTGCCCCACTAAGTACAAAATAAGATCCTGTTTTCCACTGTTACCAAATTTAATGGATTTGTTCTATTGGTGTACACAGGAGCCTCTTCCAGCAAGTTAGCAGCACAAAGTGATCCCAGGTCACCCACAAAAACAGTATCCACAGCTCAATTTAATGATCTTTCAGCTGGTCTCTTGAATTCCTGCAACTGAACCACAACACTATTCCAGATTAAGCTGGTCTCTTGGCCACTATTTAAATTATTTCCTGGAACCTTCATGATTGGCAGAGTTTTTCCTTCTTCAGCTGTAGCCATCATGGTTTTCTTCAAGTTGGGAACAGCTGTTTCCTTTCATAAGGAGAATGCATAAAATCTTGTCATTATTGCTGTAAGCACAAAGCAAGACTCCTGATCCATTCTTCTTCTAACTTACTCTTTTTAGGTATATGCAAATGGGATTCGTAACATTGACTTGCACTTCATCATCCGTAAGCTGGCAGCACCCGTGATCTCTGTTCTGCTGCTCTCCCTGTGTGTACCATACATCATAGCTTCTGGTGTTGTACCTCTGCTCGGTACGTATACCTTCAGAATATTTGTTTGTCACCTGATGGTTTACAGCAGTGTAGATATATTTGTGGAAATAAAGCCTCAAGCTCTAGGTTATTTTTAAAAAAATAAGAAAACAACTCCCCTCTATTTTCCCATCAAATGTAAACCCCTAGAGATTGCTGTGTCATCTTAAAAGTGTGGGATATTTTTTGAGAAATGCAATACATTATTCTGACTAGCTGCTAAGTGCAGAATTCATCAAGAGTATTGGACTGCATTCTATCTAACAGCAGAAATGTAGGGTTCTAGATAGTTTGGGAAAGGAATGATTAATTCATTTCTTCTCTGATTAATTCATTCATTGGTTAATTCACTTCTTTGGACAATCGACCTTTAATTTTAGTCTCTCTAAGAGGTGTGCTGTGGCACATTGTGGCACACAAAGGCCATCTTTTTCTGGCTTGCCAGATTCTAAGCAAAGCTTAGAACAGGTGAAAATGCTGGGTTTGTTTTGAGGTTTTAATACAGTATTAGAAGAAAATGTAAATTGTATATAGAGAGGGTTTTTTCAAACTTTCCTATCCCCTCATAATTGAGGGAAAGAATTTGAATAGAACCAGGATAGATGAGCTTTTTCATCAACAGTTGTCTTTTTCTAGTTAGTTTTGATGTTAACAGCATATTCTAGAAGTCCCATTTTATTCTCCAACCTCTCACTTGAACACAGACTTTTACTGCGTTGACTTTTCTCTGCTATGAGATATACAGAAATCAATAAGCAAGAAGAGCTGATAAGCCAAATTTTTATACTGTAGATTTTCACTGTATTGATGGAAAACTTTCTGCTTTAGTGCTTCAAATTAAAAAGAATAGCAGCTGTCACGTTGGATCTCTGACGTAAATGGACGTGTAATTCATTTCACAGCCCTTTTACTGAAGCTACAGTATAACAAAAAGTTTAGAAGCAGGTAGAGAAGCAGAAATACATGAGTTACCTCAGAAATGCTAGATCATGTAAGGGTTGTGCCTTGTTTTGTAGGAGTTACAGCTGAAATGCAAAACCTAGTTCAGCGACGGATTTATCCTTTTCTGCTTATGGTGGTGGTTTTGATGGGAATTCTCTCCTTCCAAGTCCGCCAGTTCAAGCGCCTTTATGAACATATTAAAAATGATAAGTGAGTATATAGTATGGGATTTTTAATTTTTCCACTTTAAATTGCGATAACTTCAGATTGAGTTCAGGTGTTGTAGATATTTAGGATTAAAATGGATTTTAGAGAAATTTTCTAGGCAAATGAGTCATTGTCCCAGGTGTTCAAGTGGGAAAGCTTCAGACAGACACTGCAAAGATGCTTTTGAAATTATCATCCAACAAAGGGACTGGGTACATAAATATTGCAAACGGACACTTTATATTTCATATCTTCATTCAGCTTATATATGTCTGAATTGTAGGACTACCAAAGTTCAGGCTGTAAACACAAACCCATAATGCCTGTGTTCCATTAGGAGACGCCTGACTGTTGAGAAAAAAGGTGGGGGTGGTTGAAGACTGTTCAGTGGGGGAGGGATCACTTATAGGATAACTTTTACTGAAATGGAAAAGCCACTTGTGCAGGAAAGGAGATGAGTGGTATTGTGTTAGAAGATGGTATCAATTTGTGTTAATTGCTCACTTTTTGCTGTAATGCCAGGTACCTTGTTGGACAGCGACTTGTGAATTACGAGCGGAAATCTGGTAAACAAGGCACATCAACAACTCCACCTCAGTCTTCACAAGAATAGATGGTCATATTAAACATCTTGACTTTCCCTTTGCCTTTACATGTCCTTTTTTCATAGACTCTTCTTGTCTTTGGATATCTCTCCCAATAATACTCTCAGCAGTGTTTTGGCTTCTGTTAGTAGCATCCAGATAGCAGTTAAGGCTCTGTCCCTTATCTGCTTTTTCTGATGTTATAAATGCTGTCTGAGGTCTGTATATGTGTAAATAGAAGTATCCTGACACCCTAAAACCTTGGATTAAAAAGAATGTGCATTGTACATCTTAAAAAAGTATATTAATTTATTAAATCTAGTTGTCACTTTATTTTGGACTGCTGTTCTGTTGACAATGTGCCACAAAGCAATAGTGCGAAGAGGCAAGATGTTTTTATAAAATTTGGAGCTTACTTTATGGTGTTCATAACAGTTCTTATTGTAGTAATATAGTATGATTTTTCCATGAGTGGAAAGGCCACACAGAGAATATCAAAAGTTAATAACTGTCTTACAGTCAGCAATGAAGTGGCTGTGGTGAGAACATATTGAACTATGTATCTTGCTGTCAAGTCTTTTTTATTATTTTGTATAACACCAAAGCTGTTGTACATTTTTCTATTGCCTGATTGTTTTTCATGTGTCAGAGTTTGTAATATTGTACAGTTGCCGTTAAATCAAGAAAATATTTCCTCTTCTGAGAATTCAGATGTACTTGTTGAGGCTCAGCTGGGTTTTTCTGTTTGGTTGAGTGGGGTGGGTGGGTGGTGGCTTTGGGATCAGAATTTCATGAGTGGAAACAGTAAGTAAAAATTTAAGACTAGGTGATGGAAGCATTTGAAGGTAGCAAGGAAAATTAGATAGGTTCACAACTTAAATTGTAGCAAATTTCTTGTCAATAATAGAGTTTTTCAGGACCTCAAGAAAAGGGATGAATCTTAACTGGTGTGCTTGCACAGCACAAAGAGCATAGTGTAAGCAACACCCTGACCTGGTCCTTAATTATACAGAGCTTGAAAACTTTTTTCTGTAAGTTACCAAAGTTGGAAATTGTAGTATAAATTTTATATTGCACAATTACTTTTAAAAAAACCAAATCCAACAAAAAAAAATTGTCAGAATTGGTCACTGTGAATTTTTATGGGAATAATATTGAGGAAGTGATTTATCACATAGTGTTTATTGCCTGAGGGACAGGGAAATACTGATGCTATTAAACAGGCAAGGAAAAGTTAGCAGATTTCTTTGCAAGAACACAGTCAAACAAGAGCCACCAAATCAAGTCTGTATTATTTCTTTATGTAGATAGAGTTCTTTTGCAGTAATGTTTGGGGAGGGGGGTGTTATGTAGATAAAGAAAATACATAACAGTATCACAAAGCTTTAAGTAGCATGAAATCACATGCTTAGATTGCAGTATCTTTTCTAGACCAATGGGGGAAATGTGAATATCCATTGCAGTAATCAGAAAATTGATGGAACATTTAACTTGCTATTCAGTACACTCTCCATCAGTATTCTGTACTTAACCATGTGTGTATATAATTAATACTTGAGAATCTGGCAGGTGCTTTGAAAGTGTCATCTCCTTTTGTTGATGTTGCATCTCTGATCTGACATGTTTGAGCTAATGTGGTCCAGGCTGTGATGGTGATAGTTCATATTTTTGCTGTTCTGGACTCATGTTTTATGGCAACGAGCACAAGCCAAATGCATCTGAATCTAGTGGCAGGAAGACTGGGCTGTCACTATCAGGTTATTTTACAGAATTAATGTTGTCCTGATGGTTTTGAACCACAAATGTTACCCTTTGGAGTGATTTATTAGGAAGCTTCCAGTGAAATGAAATCATGGAAAAATAGCTAAACTATTTCTCTTTTATTCACTGTTGCTGACTTAATGCGAAATTGAGTATATATTGACCCCATATATTTTTGATGTGCATAAATATTGCATTTGACTATTTACAGTGGTGTACATCATGGGACAGATATATTTTCACAATAATAAATTATCTGGTAACATACATTTTTATTTATGCCAAGGTTCTGTCTTTGACATACCTTTCATAAACAGTTCCAAAATTGTCTTGCCATTCAAACATTGCGAGCACTACTGTGCATCATGCAGAATATGCAGTAGTGTGGTACTTGTAACTTTGTGTTTTTATCCAGACAAACTGGTCTTAATGTTAAAATTTATTAAGAAAAAGCCTTTGTGCTGTTTCTTATTACAGTTATTTTACAAGTCATGACAGAAAAAAGTGAATTGGGCCAGTCATGCAATGTGGACTGTAGCTCTTTTGATGTAGCTTACATTGTCTGTGTTCGCTCTTTGCTGTGGAGAACTGGTTTTAAATCCAACTGTTGTGCTGGCATTTGTATTGCTTTACAGATCCCAGGTGAAGTGAAGTTTGTCTATGAAACTGTCCATTGTGAACTTTCAAAAAAATCTCATCTCCTTATCTCCTTATTTTTACACAATTTGGGAAAGAACATGGAGGTTGTAGAGAACAAGAATTAAACAATACTACTTTTTTAATTGTTTTAAATTTCAATGGTTTGCCTTATTGTGCGCTGTGTACTCCTCTGGCATAGAAACTTGATAGTAGCATGTAAGTTAACTGGCTGTTACTGAGATGAGGCTGTGCCAGTGGCTTTCTTCTGTTGCTAGAGTAACACAGAATGCTGTGGTCATGTTACTCTGGAAGTGGGAAAACCTGCGTGTGTGTGTGTGTATGTGTCTGTGTGTCTGCTCTTTCACCTCACTTCATGTTGACCTTGGGTCTTGAATGAAGAGGCTGGAGATCTGTACTGGCTTAATGGTATTCCCTTTGTGGCATTGAGGATCTAATGCTGCTGTTAGTTCCACAGGCCTTCGTCCAAGAACTGTCAGATGGCTCTGTAGCTATCTTTTGCGTACTGGAAGAAGTTAATTGCAGCATGGCTTTGACTGTTTTTACACAGATTATTTTATATTGATTAAAAATAGTTAAAACTCTGCGTCCTTTCTCTGACTCCCCATTCTCTCCCGGGTGAAGCTGAAGTTATTTGGTTTGTTTCTGAGGGCCCTCTGGTACCTGTAATTGCGTTCTGTCGGTAACTTCCTCAGCAAGATGCCAGCTCCAACATCAGTAACAGTACTCACATCACTTTTCAGTTGAGAACATTCTTTCCTTGCCTTCCCCTAGGCTTGACTAAAGATCTTCATAAAAGTCTGTGCAGCAGCCCGACTATTCTTCAGAGAAGTCAGTAAAAAGCCCTTTACCTTACAAAGCACAAATGACTGGTTTGCTGAATCCACTGCCTGGCATGCTGCTCAGCAACCTTTTGTTTCCTTGGACTTCGTCTGTTTGTTTACATCTAGGCTGGAAATTCTTTGTGGCAGTGTTGTTCTTGTTCTGCTTGCCTTGGGAATGGGCACTGTACAGCCTGGGCAATGAGGGAGGTTCTTAGCAGAAATGATGATACACATAATAACATTAAACAAGGAACTGAATCTTTACAGTACAATGAAGTTCAGCATACAAAATAAAGGAAGTTTTCTTCTGGAACAGGTAAGGAAACAATTTTTGCAAAGCATAATGGTAAGTTAAGAGCTCTCTTACACTTGGTGTATAATGATTTGGTAACTTGAACTAAAGAATTGCATAATTAACAGCAATTTCATCTCTGATTATTCCAGACAAGCCGCACTTCTGGTTTTAAGTTCTTTGTTTAGAAGTCACTGTGAATTGAGAAATGATCTGCTGAAATCAAAGTTACTCAATAATGGAAAATGTTAAAAGATTGTATTTCCAAAGGTCAAATACTCTTCCAAAATAAACGGAATGTTTTGAATTCAGTATAATGCAGAGGGATGGAGCAATGAATGGCAAGTTGATTTCACAACTCCTGGCACCTTGGCTTGTATCAGAAGTAGTGTAGCCAGGAGTATTGGGCCGTGATCCCTCCCCCTGTACTTGGCACTGGTGAAGCCACACCTCGAGTACTGTGTCCAGTTCTGGGCCCTTCCCTTCAAGAAGGACATTGAGGTGCTGGCGCAAGTCCAGAGAAGGGCAACAAAGCTGGTGAAGGTTCTGGAACACGAGTCTTACGAGGAGCAGCTGAGGGAGCTGGGGGTGTTTAGCCTGGAGAAAAGGATTAGACAATGGAATGGACTGCCAAGGGAGGTGGTGGAGTCACCATCCCTGGAGGTGCTTTAGCAAAGACTGGATGTGGCACTTAGTGCCATGGCCTAATTGACATGGTGGTGTTAGGTCATAGGTTGGACTCGATCTCAGAGGTCTTTTCCAGCCTTAATGATTCTGTAATTCTGAGAACTCTGCACATCAGTTTTGCTGCTTATCTGCTTACTTGCTATTACCTCTTTTCTGTTGAGTAGTGGCCAGTGCCAAAGCTGTGTAGGCACTTTTTCCTTGTCTAAGGAGACAGGAAACATCTGATACCAGGTGGGGAGAGGGGATGGTACTTAACCTTACTTGTCTGATTTATCACAGAATTACTTGGCTTTCGAGGGCTGTTTCTGGAAAATGATGATAGTTTTACCTAGGGAGAACAGAATTCCTTGGTGCTTATAAAAGTAGAGAACACTGCAAAACTCATTTATTTATATTGGATAGAATTTCTGTATTAGAAATAATGCAGA